CACTCACGCATCTCACGATATACGTGCAATTATCTTGAACGCGATGCTAAACCTCACAAGGGGCACATTATTTGGTGCACACTATTTCCCCTCTTCTCGCCCTGTAAAAATTGTCGAATTTGCTATGATACAAAGTGTTGCCTTACTAGAATTAAGAGGGGCGGTGGGGTAGCCAAGTGGATAAAACGCTGGTCACGATGAAGACCCCGGTTCGATTCCCACAAAAGCCCATTTCTGGTGTCCTGCGCCGCTGGGTTGCCCTGTGCAATACACGAGAAATTGATATCCATAAAGTGGGAACCTCCGTTAATACGGAAGCAGTCGTAAGGATACGGTACATTTTCATATCTGCCAATTTCAGTCATAGACGGGGCGGTGGGGTGGTCTAATGGTTTAAGCATTCGCGCTGAAGAACCGGGTTCAATTCTCGACATGGGTAAAACGTGCGCAGCCGTGATATTGATGGAATATTTCTAAAAGCGGCGTAAAACCAAAATCACTCACTTAAAGGTCACATGCAACCAAAAAACAAACATAGTCAAAACACACTTATCACATATACATGACATATAACAAACATTGCTCATTAGGAAAAAACAAATAAACAAAATTATAAGCGTACTATCGCAAATCAAAAGTGCAATATTTGGTACTTGGGTTTACTTCCCTCGAAACGAAGCATCCGGGAGACCGAACCCAGTCAGAGCGGGTGGGTGTGCACTGAAGTATAACGAAGACTTTCATTGGCTGGTTCTTTGCCGATACTCTGAGGGCCCATTGGTTGTGTATATAGAGATGTTGGGTTTTGTAAATAATAAATGCTCATTTTTTGCATTTGCGTTCGATCCAATCAACAAATACAGAGATGGTGAACTACTGCGTGGCTGGAAACTGTCGTTCGTTCAAGTTCAAAGCAGGACTTGAAATTGACAATCTGAGTTTGTAACGGCTTCCGTTCGATCCAGTCATCCGAGAAAAATGGATGCTGTTTGTTTGCAACCCAAAGACATAATAACATGTCATGTGTACAAGTATCACACCTGCCTGTCTGTGTAATTACATAATGTGACAGAGACAGAACTCAGGTGCACAAGCCATAAATCAATGTATTTTGTTTATGGTGTATAGCCTGCTAAGTTCAAATTGCATGTTGTCAATGATTGAAGTTGTGTATTGCATATTGCCATTAGCAGACAGGCAGGCACATATATAGGTGTCAATAAAACAGACACTGAGTTTTGTCTGAAACAGAGATTGCTTATCACAATCAACATATTTTTCTATGTTTCCATAGACATGTATTAAAACATTTCAGTTATCAAAGAAATTAGTATTTTTAATGCTACACTTTCTTGAAAACTTGGTTTGCAAATCTGCCAATCCCCAAAAAGCAAGATATGAAACATATAAGAAAAAGTATGGGACCAGTGTATTTTTAATACTGCAGACCATAGATGCTTGTAATCAAAAGAAACATCTTTTGTTCTCAAACTTCGACCGCAGCGATAATCCTTGCACGCATCACTTGCTGTGTTTTTACGAGTCGCCTTACCGGTTCACGCCGCGCGAACCTAATCACTGCACATGCGCTATGGACGCAGCGCAGCACAGCTGTTGAAACCACTTTTCACCCCAGAGCTGGGGTGAAATTAGTGAATCGTTTGAACTCCGATTTCGCGGGTTTTATTCATCGCGTTATTTTTTAACTTTATAAGTTGAATTTGCATTTTTGATATTTTGTTTCTGTAAGTCCATACCGAAAGGTATCAGAATCTGTAAAGTTGTGTTTTCCGTTGCATGTGTGTTGGGGAGTTTAACTTACTTAAATACGTTCACAAGCACTTCATATATCACACACTATTTGACACACTGGTAATATTTCTTCCCCACAGTGCGAGTCATCAGGTGGCAATGGGCGACGGAAGACCGGAGAAAACGTCGGAGTTTGGAATAACCCGGATGTGCAAGAAGTAACCCGGATGTAACTCTGCCCTACCGGAAATTGTACTTGTGTAACTAGTTGCTGGGGAACCAGTCGGAAGCGTTCAATACATTGTGGATTCTATGGAGGCGACCAGTTTAAGCTTGCGATATTGTATGATATGTTTCTTGGACAGTTGTATCAAAACTATTGTTGACTGTAACGTTTACTGATGACACGTGCTGCCTTCCCACCACAACTTGTCACTATATTTTTCATGGATGTGAAGAAGACCGAAACGGTGGTATCACTAGAGCTAATAATGAATTTATATATTTCAAACCAATATCGATAGTGTCTCGATATTTTCATATAGGTGCAGTTACAATTCTTGTAGACACCAAACCATTCTTCACCTGTGGAACGCGTCCTCTGTGTTGTCGACAGAGACGTGGGTATATGAGCAACGTCTTGTACAGAGATATAATTTCTGTTTTCGTTTCATTTCGATCGCACTTTTGAGATTTCCGTGTTTAAGACATTTTAAGTGCGTTTCTGTGAAGGATGCGGCCAAGGGGAGCCATATCCTATGTCTAGGGTGTTGCATACGGACCTTACAACAGATACACCTGGGGCCGTTTCACAAAGCGATCGTAGCGTTAAGACATTGTTACTCCCGTACTTAAATACTGGCAAAGTCTTCAAACGACATTTTGAAGTGATACACAAAAGTTGATAATAAATAGATGTAAATTTCATTATTATGCGGATGGCAGCGTTCCATATTGTGTTCCATCTTAATATGGAAGTTGACTTCACGAATTCTCACCTTTGGAAGGTTACGACAATAACGCTACGATCGCTTGTTGAAGGTGCTCTGTGCTGAAACACCCCTTTGCTAAATTTGAAATACACAGATATACCCACGCGCTTAAAAATACAGCTATCAGGTACAGGAAGGTGGGGATTAGGGTGTATATTAAAACCTGGCAATCAGAGGTCAGTTAATTCATTTCAGTTAGAATCAAATTTGAATTAAATCATTTAAAATAATTAAATAATTTGAGAACTTGAGAAGAACACATAATTTATTAGAACCGGATATGCATTATTTAGATGTATTTTAATGTGTACACATTTGTAAACTCGATCACCTTAATGCAGATATTGTAAAGCGGGTTTGAATCCCATGCTGGGTTATGTACGTTAAGGAAGAGGGATCACATCCACAACGCTAGAAGGTGTTTCAAAACAACCGGATTTGTACAACAAACAAACTCACCTTTGTTAACACAGCGACTCGCCACACGGTTATTTAATACAGTTCAATACACACATAGCTTCCCGATGTACAAATTGCTTTATCCTATATGGCGCCCTTTCACACCCCTTGTGTATATAATGTCTATCTTTCAGCTTGTCAGAAGAAGTATATAAGCCTGACGTTTCTCCACGTCATACTGGCATAGGTCGTCTGCCTTGTTTCGTCGCCCGGGTCTTACCAAAAACCTTGTCAAGATTTTAAAAGAAACAATGTTTCCCCCTATAAATCATGGACGGGATCCGGGGGTGCGCGCGCACGCACGCACGCACACACACACACACACCCCACACTACCACACACCTCCCCGAAAAATGTCCCTGAGGAGCATTTCCCACTAACCTTTGGACTTCATGATATATGTGCACCCCACCGACATCCTGGATCCGTCCGTTAAATCTCTTCCCTCTGGTTGATGTTTGACACACACACACATATCGCTAGACGGTTTGACGGTAGGCTTGGCTCCCACAGCAAATATTTGACTCCTGCCAAAAGTGGACGATTTGTGTGTAACACTTGAGACTGTCATGTCTTGAAGAATAGACTGAAAAATATTCTGATCAAAGTTTCCACCCCTGCGTTGTATTCTACTATTACTGTCTTTTTGGATGGACAAAAAACAAAGAACGCCGCTGACTTTGATTTATTTTTGTTACATCAGCTACTTACGTGACCATGATAATCTATCAACATCATGTCTAGATATATCCTTTCGGTGCATTCTAATCAAAACATAAAATCCAGTAGATCAGGCGACATGAACTTTAAATGATGCTTATTTTTCACGTTGCAGCTACCATTGTCTTTCATAGTAATAGTTATAATCATATATTCCTAATGTTAGAATCACTGCAAGGAAAACGATTGCTCCCTGGCCACAAACACAAGGGCGCTGGCGCTTCCCCACTCCATCAATCCCGGTAAAGACTATCAGGGAGCAGTCATTATACAGAATGTGTGCATCGTGAGAATCAGCGTCTATCGCTGATATTTCACAGTACTTTCACTACCGTGCACACCACCTTGGAAAATGAGATATTGATGATTTGTTAAAAACCTGTCAGTTCTGATTATCGGTAATAAAGTTTTCAAACGTACTTGACTGTTTTTTCTTGAAGGTTTTGAGCCGCTTCTGGTAGTGTTGATACCAGAGCAATGACCCAGTGGTCTGGACACTCTAAGGAACAATATTTCAGTTATATCACAGTGTGTCAGCTTGATGTGACAGGATTTTAGTTTGTTTGTTGTGAAATATTCCAGCTATATAGCAGCGGTCTGTAAATAATCGAGCAGACAATCCAGTAATCAACACCATGAACATCGATCTACCCTATTGGGATACGATGACAACCAAGCCAGCGATCCCGTTAGTCGTCTTTTACAAGTATGGGTTGCTGAAGACCAGTTCTAACTGGACCTTCACTCGTTGATATTACTGAAAAGTCCGGCTGGTGTTGACAAACCAAGAATTGAGTGAGTGTGTGAGCTTAGTTTTACGCAGCTTTTAGCAATATTCCAGCAATATCACGGCAGGGGACACCAGAAATGGGTTTCAGACATTGTACCAATGTCGGGGAATCGAACCTTGATCTTCGTCGTAACGAGCGAATGCTTTGACCACTAGGCTACCCCACCGCCCTACAAACCAAGAAACAAAGTCTGGGTGAATTTTGCTTTTGTGCACACCTTAGTGACCTGAATGACAAACAGGAAGTCGTAAAGAAAAAGCACATTTGAAAGAAACACCGCCCAAACAATGGGACAGCAACGTGTGAGTCTGGACCAGACGATCCAGTGATTGATATTATGAGCATCGGTTCACACTGAGTACAATCCCCACATAGTGGGTAAAACGTTCGTCACACCGAAACGTCCGGGTCCGGCTCGCTTCCCCACATGGGTACAATGTGTGCAGGCCATTTATGGTGTACCCTGCTGTGATATTGCTGGAATATTGTTAAAAGCGATGTAAACCTAAACTAACTCACTCACTCACTCACTGAGTACAATGCTACTAGTGCCAACCAAATCACCAACCCAGCAAGCCTGATCACCCTGTACTTCTGGTCACCTCTTACTTCCAACAGAGGTGGTGGTAGAGGTTAAAGCATCTACTTGTGGAAGGCCCCAATTCCATTCCTCACATGGTACAATGTGTGAAGCCCATTTTCTGGTGTCCCTGGTGATATTGCTGGAATATTGCTGAAAGCGGCGTAAAATCCCAACTCACTCACTACTTCCAACAGAGGCTGCTGGGGACCTAACTGGGTTTAGACTTGGTTCCTGCCTCCTTGATACCGCTAGGATGCTTGGACTGTTATATCCAAAACTTTGTAGCAAACGCAACACTTGGTCAGTTCAATACATGTAGTTTATTGTCCAGTCAAGGTTAAAGCGTTAAGATGTCAAGAAACATCTGGTGATAAAAGTTACAAATTATGTACACATTCTGAAGATAACCCCCCGTCCCCCATGATCGGCAATCACCTGCCACTGTCAAGAAGGCAGCCTGATTGTGGGAATATAATTTTGTAATCAAAGATGTATACTGTCATCTGTAAGTCAATATTCTATAATGGAGAATACCTTCACTTACAATTGGTACTTTTAGGAGCCACAAATATCCATGTATCGCCACAAAAACACTACTAACTGACCCCCTCCTGTGAACTGCTGATTATCTCACCCACGTGAACAGACAATTTTTATGGACAACTTCTTTTATTTCGCGAGTGCCATGTTTTGATACTGATACAAGGACTGTACAATTGAGACACTCAAAAAGTAGGAGAAGTTGTTATTCATAACATTGTCATTATTTCCTAACTTCATCAAAGAAATGACCCAAGTAAAGGAATGGGGGAATCATATATCAGAAAACGATAATACTCAATTTACACATCCAAATTCCTTGTAACATATTCTTCCTACCACTAAAGCCTCCATATCCCCCTGTAGTGATCCTCTCCACATGATTAATGTTGCATGAAGACATAAGAAGTGTAAGCTGCATCAGACGCACCATGCACAATGAATGATTATTGACTCAATTTGTCAGGCAAGCTTAATGCATTATTGTTTGATAGTCATTCGCTTTTAGCTTGAAAACAGTGTAAGAATCTACAGAATCTCCACTGAAATGTTGCCATATGCAATAAACAAGAAGTTGTTATCCATATAGTCGTATGCTTTATCATGTTTAATGCAGTGAAACCTTATTTCCCTCAACCAGAGGAACAATCACTTGTTTGGGGCCACAAGGTGTAAACCCCATACCACAATCAACCGTAATGCTACGACAATCGTAGGCCTGTTGAAGTCTGGAACGCTACTAGGGCCTGTTGAAGTCTGGGAGATACGCTGACCTTATTGAGAAGATCACTTTAACAAATACTGTATTTGTGACTTCCACAATTCAGTGATATCTGTTTTCTGAGTACATTATATTTTAGTTAAATAAAATTTACACTTAATTATATTACTTTTTATGAGAAAAACATCTTTAACTTGACAACTTCCTGCTGTTTCTGACCAAACTCCTCAAATCATTCTTTTAAACCCACAGGCCTTCAGTTTTAAAGATAATGAATGATAAGATGGATGTGGCAATAGTTAGTAGTACTTTGGCACATCTGGATCATGCTAAAAGTTTACTGACTGCTGTCCTCAATACACACATGGTCTTCATATATACTCTCTTTGCAGTTAAGTTAGGAACAGACTAACCTAGCACCATATTTCATTGTTTTCAGCATTTGAATAATCAGTTAACTTGTTAGTTTAAGTTAACCAAGTATACTTCCATCATTATTTGTAACAAAGATTACATTAAACAATTGGTCAAGCTGCCATGCTGTAATTTTCTAACAATTTGTTTAGCAAACCATACAAATGCTTTAGAAAAATAAACAAATCACAAAAACAATAGTAATAATAATTCATATTTTCAGAACGCAGGGAAGATTTGTGTGAAGATATATGATTCATAGTTCCATTCAAAATTTCAAAAACAGCTTCTTAGCAGCAATGACAGGCACTGTCCAACAGATGGACATTTCACTGTAACGTCCAATCAGCTAGCCACAGTTCATGTAAGGTGTCGCTGAACCAGGAAATCTCAAAACAGAAGAACAGACACATTGACACTTCTGTCAAGGCTTCCACATTTTCAGAAGTCCATCCTCGGAATATGTTGATATCAAGTTTTGGTGGGGATGATGACAGATGCCAATCACATCCTTTTCATGAACCTGAAATAAGATTATAGCAACATCAATGCTAGGATCTGGAGGTTATCGTACAGGGGAATTTGTGTTAAATTAATTTATTCATAATTCTATAACTGCAAAAATTTAACAAGGTCTTCTTTCATGGACCCTTGTCCACACATAGACACCTCTTTCATGCACCCTTGTCCACACATAGACACCTCTTTCATGCCCCATTGTCCACACATAGACACCTCTTTCATGGACCCTTGTCCACACATAGACACCTCTTTCATGGACCCCCTTTTTCATGCCCCATTGTCCACACATAGACACCTCTTTCATGGACCCTTGTCCACACCTAGACACCTCTTTCATGGACCCTTGTCCACACATAGACACCTCTTTCCATGCCCCATTGTCCACCAGCACATACACCCACACACACACACCGTTGTAATAACTGTTTTCAAATCCTCTCTGTGACCTATTTGTCAATCTCTCCGTCTTTGTGTCAATCTCCTCAGCTTTTAACATCAATTTCCCCCCAGTTTGTCAATCTTCTCAACTTTTAACATCAATTTCCCCACCATTTTGTCAATTTCCTGACCTTTTTGTCAATCTCCCAAACTTTTTTCAATCTCCCGACCTTTTAACATAAATCTCCCCACTGTTTTGTCAATCTCCCAACCACTTAACCTTACCACCACTGATGTGAAAGCATGTCTAACCTCGTGTGACCAAAGTGGTTGGTGTATGAGCTGTTTAAGCTGCTTCAGTTTTTGTCCACTTGTTCAGGGACCAGTTATAACCCAAAATTAATATACTCACTGTGAGAGTTCTCTCCAGCTTTCCGGTGGATACACTGAAGCAGTACAGCACCATATCCTCTCCAACACAGTAGATCCACTCCCCGTGAGGAGACAGCGACGCACACACGAAGTCTCCCCCCTCTCGCTTACCACTGGAGAAACTACGCACAATCTGGAAGTATCACACAAGCCAAGTGAAATCAACATATACACTAGTGTTGGGAATTGGTTAAAATTTCAATTAATTGGACAACCACTAATATACACTAACTCCATTCACATATTAACTTTCTTGGTTCAGTGTTTCCAGCTGCATCAAATCTCACAGAGAAAGGACATTATAGGTCATATTCCATGTCTAGCAGTAACACACGTTATATCTCACAGAGAATGGACATAACAGGTCATATCCCATGTCTAGCAGTAACCATGGTAACATATGTTTCATCTCAAAGAGAATGGACATTATAGGTCATATTCCATGTCTAGCAGTAACATATGTTTCATCTCACAGAGAATGGTCATTATAGGTCATATCCCTTGTCTAGCAGTAACATATGTTTCATCTCACAGAGAATGGTCATTAGAGGTCATATCCCATGTCTAGCAGTAACACATGTCTCATCTCACAGAGAATGGACATTATAGGTCATATCCCATGTCTAGCAGTAACACATGTTTAATCTCACAGAGAATGGACATTAGAGGTCATATCCCATGTCTAGCAGTAACACACGTTTCATCTCACAGAGAATAGACATTATAGGTCATATCCCTTGTCTAGCAGTAACATATGTTTCATCTCACAGAAAATAGACATTATAGGTCAGATCCCTTGTCTAGCAGTAACACATGTCTCATCTCACAGAGAATGGACATTAGAGGTCATATCCCATGTCTAGCAGTAACACATGTTTCATCTCACAGAGAATAGACATTATAGGTCAGATCCCTTGTCTAGCAGTTACACATGTTTCATCTCACAGAGAATGGACATTATAGGTCATATCCCACGTCTAGCAGTAACACATGTCTCATCTCACAGAGAATGGACATTAGAGGTCATATCCCATGCCTAGCAGTAACATATGTTTAATCTCACAGAGAATAGACATTATAGGTCATATCCCATGTCTAGCAGTAACACATGTTTCATCTCACAGAGAATGGTCATTAGAGGTCATATGTCTAGCAGTCACATGTCATGTCTTATAGTCTAGCAGTAACACATGTTTCATCTCACAGAGAATGGACATTATAGGTCATATCCCATGTCTAGCAGTAACACATGTTTCATCTCACAGAGAATAGACATTATAGGTCATATCCCTTGTCTAGCAGTAACATATGTTTCATCTCACAGAAAATAGACATTATAGGTCAGATCCCTTGTCTAGCAGTAACACATGTCTCATCTCACAGAGAATGGACATTAGAGGTCATATCCCATGTCTAGCAGTAACACATGTTTCATCTCACAGAGAATAGACATTATAGATCAGATCCCTTGTCTAGCAGTAACACATGTTTCATCTCACAGAGAATGGACATTAGAGGTCATATCCCATGTCTAGCAGTAACACATGTTTCATCTCACAGAGAATAGACATTATAGGTCATATCCCATGTCTAGCAGTAACACATGTTTCATCTCACAGAGAATAGACATTATAGGTCATATCCCATGTCTAGCAGTAACACATGTTTCATCTCACAGAGAATAGACATTATAGGTCATATCCCATGTCTAGCAGTAACACATGTCTCATCTCACAGAGAATAGACATTATAGGTCAGATCCCTTGTCTAGCAGTAACACATGTCTCATCTCACAGAGAATGGACATTATAGGTCAAATCCCATGTCTAGCAGTAACATATGTTCTTTTTGCAACTGATTCTCAGTCAAGAATTCCCTGACCAATATGGACAAAATAGAAACAAATAAAACTGTTGTCATTACAGGTCATTACGCAAGAAATCACAGAAAAATGACATATCAACCATAGATGGTGTAACAGCAGTATCGATGTATGCAGGGACCTGTTTATACACAACTTGGTGAACAAGTTTCAGTCAATCAATATAAACACATGTGAAGGACTGGCAAGCCTTATATTTTTGCAGTTTGTTTCGAAAACCTTTGTGAAGAGAGACAGTCATTAAAACTCCAGAAAAATGACCCTCACTCAACCAAGTCAGTAATCTGGTTGTTTCCATTGTATGTTTGACTGCCTTGTTGTGTTATGCTGAGGTCAGCAATATCCCAGTCTGCATATCAGGACCAGTGAATACTTATACTGTCAACAACAATCTGTCATTCTGGTATAACGCTATTAACCAAGTCATAAACCTGATCAGCCCGACATTGTCACTGGGAACCCGTTGTTACCCAGAATCCCATGCAGTTGACAACGTCCTTGCAGTACAGAATCAGCCTGCAGGGCTAAACATGTAATCAAAGCAACTTGTTACCACCATTGTACAGTGGGTCCCTGTAAAGCCACTTAAAACCTAACCGCTTCCAGTTGGCTCTAAACAAATTCATTATTGTCTTTATGATTATTATCTACATCACAGATGCTGAATGATGTGATATATCTTTATACATCTAAAACAAACACATAAAGTTTTAATTTCTTCACACAATACTGACTGACTGACTGAGTTTGGTTTAACGCCACTTTTAGCAATACTCCAGCAACATCACTGCGGGGGACACCAGAAATGGGCTTCATGCATTGTGCCCATGTGGGGATTCGAACCCGGGTCTTCGGCATGACGAGCCAACGCTTTAACCATTAGGCTACCCCACCACCCCCCTTCACACAATACACAAAGTTAGGTCGGTTTTCATGTGTTGCTTCTAAATTATGTTCAGGAGGCTGTTTTGTTACTCTGTGAATAAACAAGTCACCATTCACCTGTGATGTGAAATATATTCATTTCGTTCTGACGTTTTTTGGCATTTTTCTTCAAAGATACTTCCCCAATATGTATCAGTAATCAACTGATATTTTATTAATGATTTTCAATCTCTATAATCTATATTCTTTAGCCAGCCCTATCTTTGACAAGTTCTAGTTTGTTTTTCGTTTAACCCCAAACTCAGAAATATTCCAGCTATATGGCATCAGTGTGTAAACAATCGACTTTGAATCAGACAATCGAGTGATCAAAAGCATGGGGACTGATGTACAAAATGTGATACAATGACATGTGTCAACCAAGTCAGTGAGCCTGACCACCGGATCCAGTTAGTTGCCACTTACGACAAACATGGGCCACTGAAGACCAATCCTGACCCAGATCTTCACAGGTATTTTTAACAAGTAATCAAAATGTGCAAATAACATATCCACAGCATCTGTACAACTATTCTGCACGTCTGAGCTGACGTCCCTGTGTATGATCTCTCCGACGCTACACACCTGGCCCTGGAGGTTCATGATGACGACGGTGTTGGATCGGTTACACACGATGAACTGCTCCACGTTACGGGGTAGTGGGTGAACGCTGTGCACGGTGATGTCTGTACCGGTTGTACCCCCGAGGGACTTGAAGGTGCTCTGACACTCGGTTGACTTGACATTCCACACTTTGACTGTACCGTCTGAACTTGGACTGAAACAAAAATGTTGAAACTTCAACAAAATGAGTGAGTGAGTTTAGTTTCACACTGTTAGGAATATTCCTGCAATATCACAGCAGTGGACACCAGAAATGGGCTTCACACATTGAACCCATGTGGTAAATCAAACCCGGGCCTTCATGGTGGTGAGCAAACGCTTTAACCACTGTGCTACCCCACCAGCGCTGACTTCAACAGAAACAGTGTGCAGTGTTTCATGGGTTGGGGTTTCAGTCCTGGAGGACTGCACTATAGTATTTTAATCAGTGAACTGTTGAATCTCTGACACTCAACAGTGGTCAAAAAGAGTGAGTGAATTTAGTTTTACGCTGCACTCAGCAATATTCCAGCTATACGGCGGCGGTCTGTAATTCTAACCCGGATCTTCACAGGTATGGTAAAAAAGAGTGAGTGAGTTTAGTTTTACGCTGCACTCAGCAATATTCCAGCTATATGGCGGGGGTCTGTAATTCTAACCCGGATCTTCACGGGTATGGTCAAAAAGAGAGAGATGTATTCAAACCTATCAATATAATAACACATGGAGGAGTGAGTGAGTTTAGTTTTACGCCGCACTCAGCAATATTCCAGCTATGTGGCGGCGGTCTGTAAATAATCCAGTCTGGACCAGACAATCCAGTGATCAACAGCATGAGCATCGATATCAGCAATTGGGATCGAATAAGTGAGTTTAGTTTTATGCCTTATATAACCTTGACTCCTAAATCTCTAATATTTGAGTGAGAGAGTGAGTTTAGTTTTACACCGCACTCAGCAACATTCCACCTACATGGCAGCGGTCTGTAAATAATCAAGTCTGGACCAGACCTGCAGTGATCAACAGCATAAGTATCGATCTACGCAATTGGGATACGATGACATGTGTTAACCAAGTCAGCGAGCCTGACCACCCTGATCCCGTTCTTAACCTCTTACGACAAACATGAGTTACTGAAGATCAATTCTAACCCGGATCTGCACAGGTGAAATCTGAGGATATCCCATTACAGATCAACTCAGAAGATTTCATTCACACTGAGCATGATGATGACTTAGACTCTGTTTACTGCTGCACTCAGCTGTTTCCAGCCTTATGGGAGCAGTGTTTAATTGAGTATGGACCAGACAATCCAGTGATTGACATCATGAGCATCGATCTACACAATCATAACAAGAACACATGTGTCAAACAAGTCAGCAAGTCTCACTAAATCGAACTCATTGCCTCTTTCCCCAAAGCAGGGGTGCTGCAGATCTTCCCAGAGTTCCTTCCCAGATCTTCACGTGTCATCACAGTTGTCACACCAAATTGAATGTGGACAAAGAGGTCAAGTTACCTGATGATGTGATGGCCATCTTGTGTGAACACTGCATCGTTAACAAAGGACGTGTGGCTTCTAAACTCCTTGAGTGTTTTACCTGATTTCAGACCATGTACTCTGAAAACAAACAAACACAGGTACACACTATAAGGCATAATAGGATCTGATGTCAGGTTCAACATTACTGGAGTTATGCATGCTTTAGTGAGTGAGTGAGTGTTGGTGTGAGTGAGTGAGTGGTGTTGGTGTGAGTGAACAAGTGAGAGTATGAGTGAGTGTTGGTGTGAGTGAGTGAGTGTTGGTGTGAGTGAGTGTTGGTGTGAGTGAGTGTTGGTGAGTGAGAACAAGAACAGTGTTGAGTGTGAGGAGTGAGTGAACAAGTGTGAGTGGTGAGTGTTGGTGTGAGTGGTGATTGAGTGAGGTGTTGGTGTGAGTGTTGGTGTGAGTGTTGGTGTGAGAGTGAGGGAGTGAGTGGAAGTGGAGTGAGTGTTTATGTGAGTCAGTGCAGGAGTGAGTGATTGCTGAGGTGGGATGATAGGAAAGCGATCGAGTGAGGGCATGTGCGATTGGTCCTAAAATATACAGTGGAAACCTGATAAGTAAAATTTCAAGGGACTCGCCAAAATTGTTTACTTATCAGGAATTTTACTTATCCAAACTTATAAAAACTCTGTAATGACAACCATATGCATGTATATGTATGCATATGTAACAATGAACAACTTATCAGGGCTGGCCTCCAGTTGTCAGTGTATTGTCAACTGCTTGACACCAGCGAGCTGTAAGTAGGATGTTTGTTTGACTGGAGACTGACACGACGACTGCCCCTCATGTCGGATTATGTGGTGATAAGCTAATTTAGTTATCCAGTATCTTTTGTTAAGTAATTTACTTCCAGGGACCGTGAAGACGCGTTTAATTAAGCGGTATTGTTTACTTATCCTGAGTTTAGTTAACCGGACTCTAATAGTGATAATTAATGAAGAAATTTGCGGGACCAAAGAGAGATACAGACTCACCTTTATCTGACAGTCCTCCTCAAGGCCTATACTGACAGAGATACAGACTCACCTTTATCTGACAGTCCTCCTCAAGGCCTATACTGACAGAGATACAGACTCACCTTTATCTGACAGTCCTCCTCAAGGCCTATACTGACAGAGATACAGACTCACCTTTATCTTTCCGTCCTCCTCAAGGCCTATACTGACAGAGATACAGACTCACCTTTATCTGACAGTCCTCCTCAGGCCTATACCTATACTCACTCTTTATCTGACAGTCCTCCTCAAGGCCTATACTGACAGAGATACTGACTCACCTTTATCTTCCCATCCTGGGCCCCTGTAGCCAGCATCTCAGAGTCTCGGCTGAAGCTCATACATAACACAGCATCGTCCATCATCATGAAGTTATCCTGGAGAAGCAAGCAATCCAGTGATCAACATCATAAATATCAATCTACGCTAGGGTCTAAAGGCAACAGTTTGATATTTGATTTACAAATCTGACTATTTGTTTTGTTTTCTTTGTTGTTTAATGCTGCACTCAGCAATAGTCCACCTATATGCTGGATATCTGTAAATTATCAAGTCAGGACTAGAAATCCAGTGATCAACAGCATGAACATTTATCTATGCCAGGGTCCAAACGCAACATTCGTTTGATGCTTGATTAACAAGTCTGACTGCTTGTTTTGCTTCGTTGTTTAACACCACACTGTAGAACAGCGGTCTGTAAATAATTGTGTCTGGACCAAATCAATCCAGTGATCATCAGCATGAGCATAAATCTATGCAGTCGGGACCTGACTGACCTGAGCAAATACCATGCCAAAGGGACACAACTCCACACAGCAAATTACCAAGGCTTATATAAATACCTAATGCCATGAATACACAGTGCCAGTTAGAAAGTGGTCAAATGTAACATATGTCATATTGGGATTACACTTCTTCAGTAAAGTACAGCTCCTAGTACTATTGTTGGGTTGAGTCCCAATCAGGATTCGAACCCACACCCTCCGAGTCAGGCACCTAACTGCCAGCACACAGAGTCAGGCCCCTAACCAGCTCAGCCACTGCAGCTTCCACTTGGCCACTGAAGCCACTGCAGCTTCCACTTGGCCACTGAAGTGTTGAGGGAGCTCACCTGTGCTTGATATCTCAGATCCTTCCTGATCTTGCCGGTGGTGAAGTTCCACACCTCTATAAAGCCGTCCACTGACCCAGTGACCAGGTACTGGCCATCGGGGGAAAACCTTGCACACTCCACATGGGCCTTCTGACCGAACTGTAACACAGGCATAATATTAAACAGAGGTGTGAAACACTAGCATGAAAAACAGGTAGGAAACAGGCACAAGACACAGGTATCAAACACAGGCATCAGACACTGGTAGGAAACACGGGCATCAGACACAGGTAGGAAACACGGGCATCAGACACAGGTAGGAAACACAGGCATCAGACACAGGTAGGAAACACAGGCATCAGACACAGGCAGGAACACAGGTATCAGGAAACACAGGCACAAGACACAGGTAGGAAACACAGGCATCAGATCAGACACAGGTAGGAAACACAGGCATCAGACACAGGCACAAGACACACAGGTAGGAAACACAGGCATCAGACACACGGGCATCAGCACAAGGCAGGCAAAACAAACACAGGTAGGCACAAGACACAGGTAGGAAACACGGCATCAGACACAGGTAGGAAACACAGGGATCAGACACAGGTAGGAAACACGGGCATCAGACACAGGTAGGAAACACAGGCATCAGACACAGGCACAAGACACAGGTAGGAAACATCAGGCATCAGACACAGGTAGGAAACACAGGCATCAGACACAGGTGGGTAGGGAAACATCGGAAACACAGGCACAAGACAGGCATCTGAAGACACAGGTCAGGCAAGGAGACACAGGGTAGGAAACATCATCAGACACAGGTAGGAAACACAGGCAGGAAGTACACAGGCAGGCATCAGGACACATAGGCAGGAGACACAGGCACAAGACAGGTAGGAAACACATTCATCAGACATAGGCATAAGACACAGGTAGGAAACACAGGCATCAGACACAGGTAGGAAACATGGGGTGCGGAAACACTCAGACAGGTAGGAAACACAGGCATCAGACACAGGTAGGAAACACAGGCATCAGACACAGGCACAAGACACAGGTAGGAAACACAGGGCATCAGACACAGGTACAAACACAGGGCATCAGACACAGGGCAGGAAACACAGGGACACAGGTACACAGGTAGGGAAACACGGGCATCAGACACAGGTAGGAAACACGGGCATCAGACACAGGTAGGAAACACAGGCATCAGACACAGGCACAAGACACAGGTAGGGAAACACGGGCATCAGACACAGGTAGGAAACATGGGGTTCAGACACAGGTAGGAAACACGGGCAAGCACAGGCAGCAGACATGGGAAACATAGGCAGGCACACACAGGCACACATGACACATAGTAAACACAAGACAGGGTAGGAAACACATTCATCAGACATAGGCATAAGACACAGGTAGGACACAGGCATCAGACACAGGTAGGAAACAGGGCATCAGACACAAGTAGGGAACACAGGCATTAGACACATATATCAAACAAGGCATCAGACCTAAGGAATGAAAGACAAAGATTGTGTTATGTTGAGACACATATTCAGCATCAACCCAAGAATGAACGATTGTGTTATATCTTCTGTTTCACTATATCTCTGTTTCATAGCGATGGCATAGAACTATGATTACATAGATGTACCTATAGCTATACCATTACCACAGCTTCATGAAATGTGGCCAAGGTCTGGGAGCCCATTCAGCAAAGCCATCTTAGTGCTAAGATGAACTCCTATACCTTAATAGACTTACAACAGTCAAAGTGCCAAGATCTCTTAAGAATAACACAGGGCTCTAGATAATTTTTCAACATCAGAGTAATGTGACTTTATTTGTTCAATATTGAGTACTGGAAAACCTTAAGTGTACATTTAGAGTAATTGAATGGAAGCTAATGGACTATCAGTAATCTTGTGTTTCGCTTCATATATGCACCACAACATTGCTACTCTTGTGTAAACAGGTCAATAAACAATAAAACAATACTTTTTCAGATAAATACGCCTGTAAATGATTCTAAGACCGCATTACACCATTGCTGTGGTGCGATTCGCTAATGCTTTCTAAATTATTTCCTACCGTGATCGCGTATATTTTTTATCCATACATACCGATACAGCCCTCTTATCTGGAGCCCTCAAGTTCCTACTTACAACTTCTAGAATACCTCTCAGACAGTTTAAGATCTCTCAGTTGAACAGGTCCCGCACAGATGAACAAAAGCATACGTAATTCTGATAATAATACCATACTTACTGACAACCGCATCATTCTGATTTATGTGCAATTGTTAACACAGTATAATTGTCTAGGAATGCGAGTTAGCTCCCTTATATAACCATGACTCCTAAATCTCTAATATAGGTGAGAGAGTGAGTTTAGTTTTACACCGCACTCAGCAATATTTCAGCTATATGGCGGCAGTCTGTAAATAATCGAGTCTGGACCAGACAATCCGGTGATCAACAGCATGAGCATCAATCTGCGCTCAATTGGGATCCGATGACATGTGTCAACCAAGCAAGCGAGCCTGACCACCCGATCCCGTTAGTCGCCTCTTACGACAAGCATGGGTTACTGAAGGTTAATTCTAACCCGGACCTTCACGGGTCTGTAATATTTAACACGAGGGTTATGAACTGGTGTGTACCTTGATTGTCTTGCTGAGCTGTGTGGGATACTTCTCCTCCTCCTGTTCCTTGACTGCAGCCTTGCCTCGGAACACATCAATGGTTGTACCTGGAACACAGGATCATGCATGAGTATAAGAAGCAACATGGGAGGTATAAAATCCTGAATTGTGGCCTCAAAACACATCCATAGCTGTATCGGAAATACAGGATCATGCATGAGTATAAGAAGCAACATGGGAGGTATAAAATCCTGAATTGTGGCCTCAAAACACATCCATAGCTGTATTGGAAATACAAGATCATGTATAAGGGAGTCACTACATTGTAGACCAGGGTCTTGGAACACAGCCATAGGTGAACCTGGAATACAGGATCATATATGTACTAACAGACAAAATGACAAAGATAACAGGGGCGGATGCAGAGGAGGGGTGCAGGGTGCACATCCCCCTCTTCTCCCACAACACATTTTCCCTGAGGAGCATTTCCCCCAACCTTTGGACTTCATGATATATGTGCAGCCCCTTCTCCAAAATCCTGGATCCGGCCCTGGATAATATATCTGCAACTAAGCCAGGTTGTAGGATGTAACAGGCCTACCTGGAGGCTGAAGACCCTGGCTCTAGGATGTTGAGGGGCCTACCTGGAGGCAGAAGACCCTGGCTCTAGGATGTTAAGGGGCCTACCAGGAAGCTGAAGACCCTGGCTCTAGGATGTTAAGGGGCCTACCTGGAGGCAGAAGACCCTGGCTCTAGGATGTTAAGGGGCCTACCTGGAAGCTGAAGACCCTGGCTCTAGGATGTTGAGGGGCCTACCTGGAAGCTGAAGACCCTGGCTCTAGGATGTTAAGGGGCCTACCTGGAGGCAGAAGACCCTGGCTCTAGGATGTTAAGGGGCCTACCTGGAAGCAGAAGACCCTGGCTCTAGGATGTTAAGGGGCCTACCTGGAAGCTGAAGACCCTGGCTCTAGGATGTTAAGGGGCCTACCTGGAAGCTGAAGACCCTGGCTCTAGGATGTTAAGGGGCCTACCTGGAAGCTGAAGACCCTGGCTCTAGGATGCTAAGGGGCCTACCAGGAAGCTGAAGACCCTGGCTCTAGGATGTTAAGGGGCCTACCTGGAAGCTGAAGACCCTGGCTCTAGGATGTTAAGGGGCCTACCTGGAGGCAGAAGACCCTGGCTCTAGGATGTTGAGGGGCCTACCAGGAAGCTGAAGACCCTGGCTCTAGGATGTTGAGGGGCCTACCTGGAAGCTGAAGACCCTGGCTCTAGGATGTTAAGGGGCCTACCAGGAGGCTGAAGACCCTGGCTCTAGGATGTTAAGGGGCCTACCTGGAAGCTGAAGACCCTGGCTCTAGGATGTTAAGGGGCCTACCTGGAAGCTGAAGACCCTGGCTCTAGGATGTTAAGGGGCCTACCAGGAAGCTGAAGACCCTGGCTCTAGGATGTTAAGGGGCCTACCAGGAAGCTGAAGACCCTGGCTCTAGGGATGTTAAGGGGCCTACCTGGAAGCTGAAGACCCTGGCTCTAGGATGTTAAGGGGCCTACCTGGAAGGCAGAAGACCCTGGCTCTAGGATGTTAAGGGGCCTACCAGGAAGCTGAAGACCCTGGCTCTAGGATGTTAAGGGGCCTACCTGGAAGAAGACCCTGGCTCTAGGATGTTAAGGGGCCTACCTGGAAGCTGAAGACCCTGGCTCTAGGATGTTAAGGGGCCTACCTGGAAGCTGAAGACCCTGGCTCTAGGATGTTAAGGGGCCTACCTGGAAGCTGAAGACCCTGGCTCTAGGATGTTAAGGGGCCTACCTGGAAGCTGAAGACCCTGGCTCTAGGATGTTAAGGGGCCTACCTGGAAGCTGAAGACCCTGGCTCTAGGATGTTAAGGGGCCTACCTGGAAGCTGAAGACCCTGGCTCTAGGATGTTAAGGGGCCTACCTGGAAGCTGAAGACCCTGGCTCTAGGATGTTGAGGGGCCTACCTGGAAGCTGAAGACCCTGGCTCTAGGATGTTAAGGGGCCTACCTGGAAACTGAAGACCCTGGCTCTAGGATGTTAAGGGGCCTACCTGGAGGCAGAAGACCCTGGCTCTAGGATGTTAAGGGGCCTACCTGGAAACTGAAGACCCTGGCTCTAGGATGTTAAGGGGCCTACCTGGAAGCTGAAGACCCGGGCTCTAGGATGTTAAGGGGCCTACCTTGAAGCTGAAGACCTGGGCTCTAGGATGCTAAGGGGCCTACCTGGAGGCAGAAGACCCTGGTGCTGCTGCCACTTGAGCGCCTGACCCAGCAGTGCCAGGAGACGGGAGGGTGGCACCACGTTCACCTCACCGGCGAGAGCTGTGGCAATGGCATTACGGCGCTTTTCTTTAGTTTGGCCCTCTGGATAAGCCTACAAGGTAAAAATGGGAAATAAAAGCACATATATGTGCATTTGGGATCTACCAAAAAGGACATGTAACTTTCTGACTAAAATTGATATTTTATACTTATCCTGACTCATGCTAAATGCTTGTCTCCTTCTTCTTTCGAATGATAGTGGAACACTTGAAATCCCTTGAAGTTCCCTTCTAAAAAGTGGATGTAAAATCATCACTCACCCACAAGTAGTCTCCCTTGCCTCCTTTGGCGCCTTTTTTGGTCACATGACCAGTTATGTTTGTCACTCTCTCCATTTGTATGCCTCAACAATCTGGATTTACAGGGAAATCCAGAGTGCCCTGAGAGGGGAGGTTGGGTGGGCTGACCTTATGAGTCAGGATAAGTATAAACAAGAAGACAAAGTCATCAATATCCCCCGCAATGGCAAAATACTCTTCATGATTATGTCTACGAGTTATGATTATGTCAAATATTTAGGTGTGTACATAGAAAAGTGGAAGGAGAGTATTGAAAGGGTTTAAAAGTTCTGCTCCAGAAAGGAGCACTATCACCAATTTCAGTGTAAGTCAAACTTGTTGCCATGGAAATGCCAAAAATATTTTATTCAGAATTCCAAAACTACCAAAAGGCACCAGTACACCACCAGATCTATCTATGTGCAAAGTTTGGTGAAGAAATATTGAATGGTGTTAGAGTTCTGCTTCTCGAAAAGAGCACAACCACCAATTTCAGTCTAAGTCAAACTTGTTGCCATGGAAACGCCAAAAATATTTGATTCAGAATTCCAAAACTACCAAAAGGCACCAGTACACCACCAGATCAATCTATGTGCCAAGTTTGGTGACGACATATTGAACGGTTTTAGAGTTCTGCTCCGGAAAAGAGCACTACCACCAATTTCAGTCTAAGTCGAACTTGTGCCATGGAAACGCCAAAAATATTTGATTCAGAATTCAAAACTACCAAAGGCACCAGTACACCACCAGATCTATCTATGTGCCATGTTTGGTGACGACATATTGAACGGTTTTAGAGTTCTGTCTCGAAAAGAGCACTACCACCAATTTCCAGGCTAAGTCGAACTTGTTGCCATGGAAACGCCAAAAATATTTTAATTCAGAATTCCAAAACTACCAAAAGGCACCACTACACCACCAGATCTATCTATGTGCCAAGTTTGGTGAAGACATATTGAACGTTTTAGAGAGCCCCTGTCTCGAAAAGAGCACTACCACCAATTTCAGTCTAAGCTCTAACTTGTGCCATGGAAACCCCCAAAAATATTTTATTCAGAATTCCAAAACTACCAAAAGGCACCACTACACCACCAGATCTATCTATGTGCCAAGTTTGGTGAAGACATATTGAACGGTTTTAGAGTTCTGTCTCGAAAAGAGCTACCACCACCAATTTCAGTCTAAGTCTAACTTGTGCCATGGAAACGCCAAAAATATTTGATTCAGAATTCCAAAACTACCAAAAGGCACCACAACACCACCAGATCCATGTATGTGCCAAGTTTGGTGAAGAAATATTGAACGGTTTTAGAGTTCTGTTCGGAAAAGACAAATGTGCACGGATGACGGACGGACTTGACGGATCGGACGGATGATCGGACGGACGGATGAGGAGTCCATTTTAATACCCTCCCCGCAAACGCCGCTAAGCGGGGATAAAATATCAATTTTAGTCAGAAAATTATTTCCCCTTATCCTGACTCATGCTAAATGTTTGCAGAATCTGTCCAGAATCAGTGGTGGGTCAGGCTACTTCCTGATTCACTGGCTGCTGTTTTACCCCTGTATTTCCCCCCCATTATTGCAGCCCTCCATTATTGTTGTAATCGAGCAGTTTCCATGCAGAGCAAGTGTAGATGCCAAGGCTCTGACTGCAGGGGATTGGGAGGCTTGTGGAGGCTCAAGTCCTGCTGCTTTGTAGGCCCTTAGTATGACGGCTCTCATCCAAACTGATATAGTTGTCCGTGAGACTTCCGTGGGCGTCTCAGTGGATAAGGGGATGAATAGGCGCTTGAATTTTCGTCTCCTTATTTTTGTCCTTTGTAGGTAGACTTTCAATGCTCTGACAGGGCATAAGGATAAGTCCTGTGTATCCTGTGGCCAAAGGACTGTAGAAAGTGCTGGGATGTGGAACTGTCTGTCAAGCTGGCCGGGCAGTTGGTTCTTGGCAATAAAGTCCCATCTCAGTCCAAGATGTACGATGTCACTGATGTCTTGCTTCAAAGATCAGAGCATGTATTTCTGACATCCGTGCTGCTGTTGCTAGGGCGATCAGAAACAGTGTTTTCTGTGACAGTAGTTCAAAGGATGTCCGCTTCTAGAGGCTCTCGTGAGATGTTAGCCATCACTGGTGAGATGCAGGGAGTTGTAGAACTACGTTGAGATCCAATTGACACACATCTTCATGGTTCATAATGATAATGTGCTGAGAGCAGCCAAGATGCGTTGAGAGTGTTGAACCTTTTAAGTATCTCTTCTGTCGCAAATGACACAAGTATTCTGCCACTTGAGGATGGGTTGCTTTCACCACCTAAAAGCCTTTTCTCATTGCATACTGTTCAAATCTCTGCCACTTGTCGTCGTACAAGTTGCGAGTTGATCTGTGTAGATCTAGTGTTACTGCTTTCGCTGCTCTGGTGGAGTACCCTCTAGTCTTCAGGCAAAGCTTTGATACACTCCCACCGTGTAGCTGGAACAATGCCGGAATCCTGGTGAGCTTGCTTGGTGTGTGGATGGACCAGGCAGGTTTGACCCACTCTGGTAGATCCAGGGTTGTTTGTTGATGTATGAACACTACCAATAGGTGGAGTTGTCCTTGTGGACCGTGGTAGCCTTGAAGCTGTGGACCGTCCCATGAGATGCTTCAAAGCCTTTGCGCGCGGAGTCCTTTAAAGTTGTTTGCTGGACCAGTGTTGTAAAGCTGTTGATCACTGCTTTCATCTCCAACAGGTTGATATGCAGACTCATGGACCAATTCTTTGCTCCTGGATTTCATGCCTGTGTACATCACCGGTTGTTGCAGGTAAATGATCCAGACGTGAGAATCTTGAATGCTACTGCAGTCATTGATTTCTTCGTTCCAAACCATGGATGCCATGTTGTATGGCATTGATCAGTGCTTTCATGCTCCAACAGGTTGATCTACAGCAAAATCCTATGATGTACTGGATTAGTTGTCGAGGTGAGCATCGATGTGAAGTCTATTTTATAGTCGACTGGCTGCCGCGAAAGCAGAAATCGCCTTTAACGCTTTGTCGCTGCAAGTCCCCAGATAACCAATATTAAATCTGCTGACAGGTGAAGATAGCCGAACCACGCTGTACCCTGCTAACTGGACTATAAATGGAGCCTTCCCACGCTGAAAGAGTTGTTTACAACTGTAGATCGACTTCCTGGCATGTGACTATGATCGAGTTCTGCGAGGGGATGTTTCTCAAGGACCAATCAGATTTCGAGTGATGTCACCGGTGTTGCCGTGGTAAATCCGATCCTCGTGAGAATCTTGTGCAGTCATGATTTCTTCGTCAACACGGTGGCCTTGTCCGAACCTCTGTTCGGGCTTGTCAATGGTTGAGTGGAGTGCCGAGCCAAACTTCGCAGATAGTAATCGATCCTGACTTGTTCCCGTCTGTTGTGACTGTATTCTTCAACTTCATAATCTTTACTGCAGTGTCGTCATCTTATACAGATGTTCTGACTGTAACCGATGTCTCTCATCCTTCACACTTATTTTAATTGACAGGAATCAAGGAGAATCAGCCAGAAAATATTTTTTGCAAAATTCACCGCGATTCGAGAGAAATGTCAAAATAAACAATTTTTTCAAGCCTTGTAAGAATGCTGGGGAATACTTAGAACGCAATGAACCCGCTACTCGAATGATTCTTGTACATTCCAAATGTCCTAGATCTCAATGCAGCTCGAAATGAATCGGAATAGAGTAGGAATAATTAGAATGCGGATTAGAATACACTAAGAATACTTAAAATGAATTTTAGATCAGCCAGCAATATTGGCTCAATTCTGCTCGTGAATAGCACTCGGGTTTCAGTTGGAATGTAACCTCGAATGATGTACAAATTTACATAGAATGCATTCAGAACCCTCTTGGAATGACCCCTGAATATGGATCGAATGTTAAAGAATTAAAACAGAATGCAGCTCAAATATTTCAAATGTCCTTCAAATGCACTTAGAATGTAACACGAATGTCCGAAATGCCCAAATCCTATAGAGTATGGACCACCTCGACCATGTGGCGTTGCTCCAGATTGCTGTCCTCCAGGAAGCCCTGATTGAAAGAAATGTGGAGGAGACCAGGAGAAGAAACAAGAGAAGACCCAGGACATTCCAGACAAGAGCATGGCTGACAGAGGAAAGGAGGATGCTGTATGGACATTACAAGACTGATGGAGGAGCTCAGAGTTGAGGACATGCAGTCATTCTTCAACTACCTTAGGATGGAGCCTGTCGATGAGTTGGTGCAGAAAGTGGGACCAAAATACAGAAGCAGGATACATATATGAGAAACGCTACCTCCAGGCTTGAAGCTGGACATCACATTGAGGTTCCTGGCTTCAGGTGGTAGGTACTCCAGCATCATGTACAGCTTCCGCGTGGCAAGGAACACGATCAGCCTGATCATCCCAGAACTATGTAAGGTTGGTGCTTACGGAAGTATGTCTGATGCTCAGATCTTCACCGAGTGCGAGCTCAAGGATTACCTTGAAGACGGGAACATGGGAATTCCTGATCCGTTCCCCTTACCCCAAGATGACGAACCGTATGCCATGCTTTATTCTGGGACATAATGCCTTGGGAATAAGGGCCTTCTTGATGAAACCGTATGGTCATATGACTCTCCAGAGAGACGAGAGAATCAACAACTACAGGATCACCAGGGGCCGACGGGTAGTCGAAAATGCATTTGGAATCATGTCTCAGAGTTGGCAAATCCTCCTCACCACCATGCTGCCAAGGCCTTCCGTTGTGAAGGACATCACTGAATGCTGTGTCTGCCTGCACAACATGATGAGGAATCGTTATCCTAATCTCCACAATGGTACGGTGGATGAGGAAGATGAGCAGCACAACGTGGTGCCAGGAGGCTGGAGACAACTTGCGCAGCTTGAAGCTGGCTACGTTTTTATGTGATTCGGCTGTGTTCTCATGACGTCAGGGCTCATTTGAAGAGTATTCGGGATGTTCTGACTGTGTATTCGATGTACATTCGAGCTGTATTCCAAGTGCAATCAAAATATTCCGATAAGTTTGAAGAATATTCCACCTAAATTCCACACGCCATTCGGGACATTCTTGCAGGATTTGAAGTGGCTTGCCTTTTCAATTCTCCCTCGTTCAGAATACTTAGAATGCAGTTAGAATGCAGTAAGAATACACTTCAAATGTTGTTCGATATTTTTCCACTTCAAATATACCTCGAAAGTTTTGAACATGTTCAAAACATTCGGGCATGTAACAAGAATTGACACGAATAGTTGGAATGCATTCGGAATGGAGTAAGAAGTTTTAGAATGCAGTTTGCATTTCCAGGAATCTTCAGGAATTTCCGACGGCATTTCGGCTCATTCCGCCTCAAGTGTGAAGGGGGTATGAGGAACTGTGACAAGGCTGGTAACTGTCCGCTTGATACCTTGTAAGCCAATGTGATGAAAATTCATCTTCAGTGTTTCATCGGATGTTATCTGACATCATTAGTTCAGGTGTGCGTCTCTTCCTTCAGCCACACGTTGATCCAACATCTAGTTGTAGTGTCCAGTTGCGTTATCTTCTTATCTTCCATCTTGAAGATCTATTACGGGATTCACTGATGATCTTGTAATCTCAAACCCTGATGTATCATGAAGGGCTCCGTATGATGAAGGGGAAATCTGCTACAGTTGAACGGTGGGACATGCTGACTCTGATTATAATCCTCCCCGTGAGTGCCTGCGCGCGCAGGTTGATGAAGGTCCATGTTGGAAGATCCGTATCTGCGCAGTCTGTAGAATGCTGGAGAACGACTGGATCTACTTCTGTGTTAGAATCCTTCCTGCTGAGACGCTGAAACTGCGTGGAGGCTCCATCGTGGACTGCTAACGCTAAGCTGGCGTTCGTTGAATCCTCCAGGCTTCTTACTGCTGATACTTCTGGTAAAAGATCTTCGCTGAGCGTAACTGTTCGTGCAGGCCTTCATCGAGAGAGCTTGCATAGATAATATTCCTTCGGCGCAGGGCGACTGTCATCGGAGGGGTCTGCTATGCTGAGCTGACGTTAGTAGAGTTCTCCAGACTTCTAACTTCAGACGGTGAAGTTGGACATTTCCCTATCTGAAGATCCATAATGACGTGAGTCTCTGTATGTAGATCTGTATGTAGAGCTGCGTGCAGGTGAACGGTCCCCAGTGTGACCATGTATTCCCTCCTGGAGTCTTGAGATATCTCTCTAGGCCTTCCACGAAGGCTGATTGACATAATCTCCCCTCTGTGAGATGTGGAGTACCTCTTAGCGAAGGTCCCGATGTGAGTCAAGTCCGGCGGTGATGACGATCCATATCTGCAGCGTCTGTAGGGTTCTGGAGAACGCTTCAATCTGCTTCTGTGTGGAGAATCTTAGAGGCTCCTTCGGGGACGTCTAAGGCTGAGCTGACGTTGGTAGCGTTGTCCAGACTTCTAGCTTCAGACGTTGAAGATCGTCAGGTGCGTGGGCCTTCACACAGGCTTTCCTCTTCATCCAGGTGCATTGGAGAGGCTGCTGAACCTTCAAGCGCAGGCTTGTAGTCGTCTGGTCTTCGTGTAGCAGCTTCCTCCTGCGAAGCAACGCGTTTCTTCATCGACATCATCTGATCTGTAAACTGTTGCATAAACAGCCCCGGGTTGAAGTTCTGCGACGTATGTTGAGACTGCTGCAGGGTTGATGATGCTTCTGAGAACGTTGAGGCCTCTTCTAAGGTACGCTGCACTTGTGAAGAGTTGACGCTGCTGCTATCTCTGGTACCCGATGTCTGCGTTGATAGAAGGTCTTCTGTCAATGTCTGCGCTGATATAGTTGCCGATGTAGCTGTTGAAGCAGGCTTCGTCTTCTTGCTGACGACTGTGACTTCAGGTATGATGATGGGGGGATCATCATACACGTCTGCTTCTTCCGGAGGTACAATATCGGCAGTGAAGGATCTCGTCTTCTGCGTAGAGCTGTGAAGAGACTTCGACGAAGTCTTAGGAGCTGTAGACTTCTTCTTCTGTGCTGAAGAAGATCTCGTCTTCTTCGTCTGCGATGAGGACAGCTCCGTTGACAACGATCTCTACTTATTCGAGACGGAGTTCATCACTGGAACAGCTTACCTGCCCTCGTGAAAGCGCTCAGCAATTCACTGGAATTATGAAACGTCGGCAGCAGTAGTTAAAGACACGGTTATCAGCGCAATCACTTGATTTACCAGACATGACTTGTGAATACCTTCTTACCCAGTCCTTTGCACGTCTATGAAGAGAAAAAATAGGTAGTTATTAAATTCAATGTAGTTAGTTTCTGACAATGTTTACAGCAAAGCTGGAAGAACATGTAGTAGTGCAATCAGGACATAATATATGGCGGGTCAGCCCCAGACAGCGGTACCTACAACGAATACAAGTTTTCATCAATTGTAAACCAGATGAAAAACATGGCAAACAACGTATAATTCTGATGGTAGACATAATATCAAAACATTTGATAATATACAATCCAAAAACCATATACAGCTGCCATTTAGATGTAAAGGGTCCAAAATAGAAAAGGATATGTGACATAAGGGACCCAGGTGCTCTCACAACCGTCCTCAAGGGCGAAGAAGCAGAGACTGACAAACATACCTGGTCATGTGACCAAAAAGGGCACCAAAGGAGGCAAGGGAGAGTACTTGTGGGTGAGTGATGATTTTACGTCCGCTTTTTAGAAGGGAACTTCAAGGGATTTCAAGTGTTCCACTATCATTCGCAAGAAGAAGGAGACAAGCACTTAGCATGAGTCAGGATAAGGAAAAATAATATGTTTCGATGACAAGGCGGGCAGAAAAATAATATGTTTCGATTATAAAGATGTATTCATCAGTTCATAATGGTCTAAGTGTTTGGTCCACCTTTTAAACTGTACATTAATCACAGGCTCCACATGATAAACCAGGTGTTGGCGCAAAACACACATGGTCAAAAAGCATATTGTACATTCCCAGAGAAGATTCGGATTCGAACTGAAATTGGTAGCCTGTGCTTGTCATAGGAGGTGACTGACTGGATCTGGTGGTCAGGCTCCCCAACTTGGTTCATGAAATGTCATCTCAGTAATGTAAAGCAATACTCACAATGTCAATAACTGGATTGTCTGGTCCAGATATAATTATTTACATGACTGCAGTCACACAGCAAGAATACTACAGATGCAGATATAAAAACAAAATAAGACGAACCTCCCTGGGGTCGAAGTAGGACCGGGACAACATGTTCTCCAGATGGATGTATCTGTCAGGCTGGTTGTGTTTCAACATGATCATAGGGTCGGTCTGACGGAGCAGCGACCTCGCAGCTCCCAGCTCACGCAACTCAATCAGCTCCAAGACAATCTGAAATGATCACAGAAACATTCCAGCTAAAGACTATTTGTTTCTGTCATGATATCATTAAAATTCAAAATTAGTCATAGTATGAAGGACTGTGACTCACACACTGACTGGATTCAAACCTTAGTGCAAATGTCTGTCAAATTGGTACAATAGTATTTTATTCCTAACTGTGATTTTAAACAATGTTTGCCTGAACTGTTAAAGATGTTGTGCCGTTAACGATGTAACTTGTTATTTTTTAGCGGTCTCACTTGATAGGAGCTCTCCTGTTAAAAAGTATGTTTTTAGAGTAAGTTAGTTTTTTGCCATGTGCTTCCGGTATGTGTGTGGGTCGTCACCCTGTGTTTTGGTTTGTCATAAGACGCCATTGTCCTTTTACCACACGAGCACATTAGTTTGTAAAAGAACTTTGAAGGAATAAATCTAGGAAAGGAAACATAATCTCGGCTCTTCTTCAAGTTCTCCACAGATATGCCAACGGATGTGCCAAGGTAAACACTGCCGCCAGAGCTATCACAGTATCGGAAGTTAGTGAGACGGCATAGAGAATTTTGAAGGAGTACTGACATGTTTTTGTGTGAGCGAGTTGGTGATGTGGTTTGTCTGGACGATTCATCGATCACTATTTCCAACCATGTATTTGTATTTGAAAATAGCTGAGCGACCGTGTGATGCGCGAAATGTCAGGTCCGACTGGATATAAATAGGAACAGTGTAGTTTTTAGCCAATCGAAATATAGTGACGCATATCGTTGCATGGCAACACAAGGGATTCCTACTGTCGGGGTTTCCTCATGTGTCAAATCGTGTTTCGCAAAAGTAACTTGACAAGTATTTATCCGAAATAGATTTCCATTTGCACGATACGCACGGAAATTAAATGTTAGACGTACAAAGGTATTTATGTGCGTACACGATACGCTTGAAATCTTATACAGGCATCCCTCGCCATAACGCGGGTCTTGGGGTCCATGGATGACCCCCCACGTTATTAGACACCCGCGTTATAAGTAACGATTACATAACGCGGAACAAAGGCCAAGTAAAATCGTATTTTCCATGGACATAGCAAAACTGCTATTTCGGGTATTGTGCCCAGTCAAAACTATATCGTATTGTTGGAGGTGAAAAAAACACAAAAACTGTGTAAATCAAAAATAGATGTATGTACATGAAACTTGCAATCAAACATCACAAAAAATGATAATTCAATTGTTGTTCCTGTCATGCTACCTGTTATTCAACTAAGCCGGAAATAGCAATCAGCTGGGCACACATCGATGTTTTGGTTCAATGTACCGGGGATTCAGTTAAAAACGATCCGAAAATATAACATCCAAGAATTTCTATTCCATTATCAGAATAATTTATATGTCAAGCAGTTATTCGAACAGAGATCTTATATATTGCTATCGTATAAGTATAATGCATGTTTTCTACGAACATATTTGACATAATAATAAGAATTGCTAAGTTTTTTGGGTTACCTGGCTGGATACATTTTACGTAGGAGACAGTTTGACAAGTCACCGCCGACTTCCCGCGGTACGTGCCACTTTGATTGTAAAAACAAAATGTTGGCAATTAATTGTCAAATATGACTTCAATAAGTCAATAACGCGGGTCTTGGGGTCAATGGATGACAAGGCTGTAATCTGTTCGTGATTGCTGAGAAAAATGTCAAATTGGTGTTATCGCGGTAGGCGCGAAAAACGGACCCTCACGAATGTGGTAAGCGGGTGTTGTACGGAATGAGGTAGTGCCATTTCACTCACAGTTTCTCCGTTGTTATTGTAGACAGTTTTAATCAATGAAAATGGGATTGAATTTAATCAAATAAAATGTGTTTTCTGACATCATACATTCTCGGATGGCGGTGTTTACCCGCGCAATTACGCGGTGTGTTGCATCATAGCAAACGTTGTAAGTACTCGGCTGATAATCGACCTGTTTCGCTGTTCATAATTGCAATTATTATTGAAAAAGACCCTGCATGTTTTAAGCATCTGAAAAAACCATGAATATGTACAATAAACACTGTTAATTGCAATCCGCACTGAATTTCACTACTTTATAAGGTGATTAACCAGAGCTCAAGAGCGGATTTGTTGATGTGCTATTTTCAATGACGTGAATATGTGTGATCACTGGGCAACTTTTTTATGGGAGCCACGGATTACCCCGCGTATTAACCGAATCCGTGGTATCGCGAAGAGCGTTATTGCGAGGGATGACTGTATTATGTCGTACTTAATTGATTTTGAGGCGTACATTACGCTTGTACGCCCCTTATCTGTAGCCCTACAATGAGATATGCACAAAAATGAGAATTAATCATGTGAATTGCTCTCTATTTTCCTGTCAGCATTGTAAGTATATCTCTATGGCCAGTGTGTGATGGGACAATACTGTTACGCCCCTACCCCCCGTTCATACAACTCGATCACCAGTGTTACATTTCTATGCTGGATGCGTTAGCACTATTTAGGTTTAGTATTGTTGGTGTTTGATCTACCTGTTCGTACAGCTCGATGACTAGAGGTAGTTTCAAACTGACAGTACAATGTTATTGTGCGATGATCTACCTGTTCACACAGCCCCATAACTAGAGCTAGTTTCAAACCGACAGTACAATGTTATTGTGCGATGGTCTACCTGTTCATACAGATCTACCTGTTCACACAGCCCCATAACTAGAGCTAGTTTCAAACCGACAGTACAATGTTATTGTGCGATGGTCTACCTGTTCATACAGCTCGATGACTTGGGGTAGTTTCAAAGCGACAGTACAATGTTATTGTGTGATGATCTACCTGTTCGTACAGCTCAATGACCAGAGGTAGTTTCAAACCGACAGTACAATGTTATTGTGCGATGATCTACCTGTTCATACAACTCAATGACTAGAGGTAGTTTCAAACCGACAGTACAATGTCATTGTGCAATGATCTACCTGTTCGTACAGCTAGATGACAAGAGATAGTTTCAAACCGACAGTACTATTTGTGAAATGATCTACCTGTTCATACAACTCTATCAGCTTATTGTCTGGCAGCTTGAGTGTCTGTATAGCCTGCAGGACAGTGTCCCAGTGACCACTGTTGATGTCACTCACGAAACTGTCCACAGAGTCTACTGTGTTCAGTGAGATCCCACTCTCCTCCTGAAACAGATTCACATCAAAATTGACTTGTTTATCATCTTGAAATAACAACACCATTCCGAAAACAAAATACAAACAGCTTAACTGTATTCCTATTTGCCTCTTACCTGAATTGATGCATAACTAAAAACACTGTCTAATCCGGCACCTGACTATTCCGTATTACAACATGACATCCCTGTCCCAACAAGCAATTTTAACTGTAATTAACGCTGTCTAAACCGGCATGGGTATGAGCAGTCCAATCAAGGACCCATAATCCAATACACTAATTAATCCTCCTGGCACGCTAGATAATCAGGAAGTAGTGATTGCGCGGTGAATCCAACGCTCTAAGCTAGCATGGGTATGAGCAGTCCAATCCCTTAATCCAATACACTCCTCTCGACACGGTAGATAATCAGGAAGTAGTGACTGCGCGGTGAATCAAACGCTCGTAGGAACTACTGTGAAGTGTAAATGGCAGCCATGTTGGAAAATGATCGTCACTGTCTAATCCGGCACCCTGCCTAAACCGGCATTTTATTTCGGTCCCGTGACGTGCCAGTTTAGACAGGTTTCACTGTACTGTGTAAAATTCTAGGCGCAACTAATAATAGTCCTCATAACAACACAACATTCCACTGATCGAATATGTGCTTTGCAGTAAATACAGGTAAAACTAGTAAAGATCCTGTAGCATGATGTAAATGTCCAGAATTAGTTTTCCTTTTGCATCTTTAATCCACGACTTCTGGAAAAATATAACAGATGATGGTATTGATACCATAAAATAATAAGACTGTAAATCATGTCACAATAAAATGAGGATCTAAATCAGTAGATGAACAAATTGTCCATTGTTTTATATGCTGATTACCATTCACATGATGACAAGGACATGGAATCATGGGTAAGAATAAAGTTAAAAAAAGGTAACGAAATAAATTGGGTGATAGAGTTCGGAGATTTGATTGATTGCAAGTAACTGTAAACCCATTTCATGTACCACTTTTAATGATTGTTAATTATGCAGGGTTGTTTGGTCAGAGATTTGAAGAGCCAGAACCTCCGAGACCTCAATGTGGTATTATCGTCTTGGGCATTGATCATTACCTGAAGTATGGAGAGAGTTCTTAGGAGGTTGTTTTCTTTCAGGTATTGCTCAATGAGCCTCACAACACTGAAATGAAACAAAATCATTTTCTTGATAAAGCAATCAAAAAGGTTTCTACATACAGTAAAGAACCAATATCAAACATTTAAAAATCTGTACTACCACTGAAGACAAAACGTTGACCGGATGGAAAATAGATGAACAAGTACTAATATTAAAGGGGTCTTGCTGTGTTGTATGGTCCACTATGGAGCATATGGGGTAGATTTGAAATAGATGTTGTGTAAATAATTATGGCAAGACTGCTGTCTACTGAAAGTAGCTTATAGCACTAATTGGCATAGGCTGCTAGCTGTGGTTCTAGCTTCACTGAGAGCCTTGGTTAATTTTGGGTACTAAGTAATGTCTGCCCTTGGACCCAAATCATGGAACAGTTATCCCCCTTTGCCCACTCGATTTCTAATTGGAACATATCGAAGTGACAAAGACAATAAATATGATTACATTAATAAAGCAAATCAAGCCCCAATTCAATACAGAGTATGGAAACGTGATACATGCGCCTGGTTGATATGGTGAGAATGAAAGTGCTATGCATCCTTCCAAAACAATGCCGGCATCTCCCTACTGTCTATCACCATGTGTGCATAAAAAGTTCTCTGCTTGGAATACATCCAATCACTTGGAAAAATATCATGCAAAACATATTTTGGTAAGGTTTATCTATAAATTAGTTTGCATATATGCATGTCACGCGGCATTCAATGCATTAATGTTCATACTCACTCTGCTGACTCGATTTCCACCGCCATGTTTCTTCACGATCTCGAACAAACGCGTTGCATCTCGGAAGTTCTCGCCTCAAAGTCATGTGATAAACAAAATGGTGGCTGTTATGTCGCTGTCAGTGTTAAACGGCTGAAAACTGTGCGGCGTCGAATCTACCCATGGAAAGGATTAGAACTGCTTATTTCCACTCGTTTCGGTGTTTCATTTAATTGGATTCACCTACTAGCCCTTGGTTCAAGTGACAAGTTCTATTTTTATCACTGACAGTTTTTGTCAGCTGTCACATCACGCCCTGTGGTGGAAATGGCAGAGTCTAAGAGAAGATGGACACTGGCATATCTTGACTTAGTTGAAGTTCCCTTTGATCTTGCTGAAAAATATGGAGGAATGATCGAAGAGCTGGATTTAAGCTACAACCGAGTGACGTATCCTTGTTTAACAGACACCCCCTATAACATCTTGAATATAAGATAATTTCTTTATTATCCCAAGGGATATCACTGTAACTGTTCCGCAAAGTTCTCTCTTATTCACCATTTCAGTGATTGCATTTTTCTTATGTCAGTTCAAGAATACAACCATACAAAATGGTGTGTGTTAAGGCAATCAAACGTATTTTAAAGTAATCCAATGACAGCAGATTATTGGGCAAATCAGACTCTTCGGTGGTCAGTGGCATTGCCTAAACTTCCAGAACACAGATTAATGTCATGATTCTAATAAAGATGAAAATAATTCACATTCCCTTATAATATGATATAAATTTATGTAAATTAAAATGTAGTTCTGTTTCATGTTTCAGTTCGTCATATTCCAGGTTTGTGACTGGTTAATTGAGAAAATCCTCAGTGAGGATACACTCTGACACACAAATTTATGATTACCGGGTATTTTATTTCTGCTTTTTTTTCATCATCAGTGAGCTCAAATCCATCACATAAAAACCAAAAAGAATTAGTCTAGAGACCATAAATTTGTTATTTTATTGTCTCTGGTCTGGCCAAAACATGTCATACATGAAAACATTGTCTCTCCTTTTTCCTTATTTCTGCCAGAGATTTACGTTTTATGAGTGACTTCCCCAGAGTGTCAACACTGATCCTCGATCACAACAACATCAACTGCCAGGTGAAACTGCCACTTCTTCCCCAACTGAACACGCTGTGGGTCAACCACAACAAGATAAAAAACCTGGGTAAGTAACAACCATAATACATAAGGCATGGTATCAAACCGTGCTGATAATTTAGTAGTAATGAGGCCATGATGAATACAGAAAACCTTTGCAATGTTTGGGAAACTGTTCAAGGTATTCGTATGAGAAATGTTGATGGGTGGGCTTAACGTAAATCCAGAAATGATATTCTAAACCTTCATAAATGGAGCATTTCAACATGCAAATGAAACAAATACAATTCTATCCCTGTCATTTATTATGCAGAGGACCCATGGAGATCTGGGTTAGAATTGGTCTTCAGCAAACCATGCTTGTTGTAAAACTACTAAAAGGTGACTAACGGGATTTGGTGGTCAGGCTCGCTGACATGGTTGACACATGTCATCGTATCCCAATTGTGTAGATCGATGATCATGATGTTGATCACTGGATTGTCTGCTCAAGACTGGATTATTTACATTTGATCTGTAAACATTGTCTCATTGTTTTTTAGATTTATATCCATACAGTATTCAACATTATAATATTACTTATATAGATGTTGAGATATACAGTGACATCCCAACTTGACAGGGTTTGCCTTTACTACAGTCCTAGAAACATTTGACCACTTTGTTATCTGGTGACGTGTGTCTATCTTTACTCCATTCATGGATGTTGTGCAAGCCCGGTGTGCGGAGGAGTTTGACGCAAAGATGTACACGAAATGTTGTGCAATGTAGTCTGAGTGCTGATAGGTCAAGTAGTCTCTGTTTTGTTTTGCTTGAACCCACATGAATCAGTTTCAGGCACCTAATTCACTTCTCACAGCGGTACACAAAGTATGTGGCCTAGACTACCAGTTGTCCGACTTCCAGTTTTGTGGTGCCTGAGAGTATGGGTTCGATTTCCCGATGGGACTCAACCTAACAAAAGAAGTAGAATCTGTACTTTAATGAGAAAGTGTAATCCCCAAATGTATCATATTTCACAATGCTATATACAGTGAAACCTGCCAACACCGGCACCTGTCTAATCTGGTACACTGTCAAAACAGGCAAAACATTTTGGACCCCCATTTTACAACGATATTATGATCATTAACACATTGTCTAATCTGGCACCTGTCTATTCCATATTTTGGCACGACTTTCAGGTCCCAACAAGCAAGTTTAACTGTTATTAACACTGTCTAAACCGGCATGGGTATGAGCAGTCCAATCAAGGACCCATAATCCAATACACTAATTAATCCTCCTGGCACGCTAGATAATCAGGAAGTAGTGATTGTGCGGCGAATCCAATGCTCTAAGCTGGCATGGGTATGAGCAGTCCAATCAAGGTCCCTTAATCCAATACACTCCTCTCTTGGCACGCTAGATAATCGGGTAGTAGCAATTGCGCGGTGAATCAAATGCTCGTAGGATTACCGCGGTTATGCTCTATAAACACTGGGGGATTGCATTAACTGTTTTCAAGTGAGTGACATGTGTCAGAGAGTAAAAAAGTAGGCATTGGTTGATTTGTAGTTGTTATTTGAACAATGTTTTGTGCTGAATATGGAATAATTATCTGTCATCAACATTGTTTTCATTTGTTGCACAATTACAAAGATCAAAGCATTATAGAGATAAAGAGATTGATGAGTGTAAATGGCAGCCATGTTACAAAATGATCATCACTGTCTAAACCAGCATTTTATCTCGGTTCCATGGGGTGCCGATTTAGACAGGTTTCACTGTAATTGGTTAGAATATAAATGTTGAAACGAGTATAAGAAACACTCCACTGGGCCTGTTGGTTAGACGGGTATATATTTGGCAAGAATATAAATGATGACATGAGTATACTCTCACACTAACTTGTTACCCTTAAGATAAATTTGTCGAATTCAAATTGGTCGATAGCCAAAGCATACGAACCATGTAGGCGGATTTGCCAGGGTGTATGAATTGTACACCCCATCAAATCTGTCATGTGACACATTACACTGGTTGTACGATTGACCTTGACCTTAGATTGAATGCAGCTGCCAAATGGCTGATCGCTTCAAAAGTTTAGAGTTGGTGTATACAATTATGAGTACAAACAGAGTAATAAAATCGTTGGCAAAATTTCTTATTTGTTTGTGTCAATAAATATATCCAAAAAATAACATGTTTCTGTATTTCACTTGTCGAGTAACAAAACCTCAAATTCGATAATTTTTATCCTAAACTAAGCCATTCCGTGTTATCTCCCTTTATGATCGTTCGGGAAAAATCATGGCAAAATGTTTTGCGTCTCATTCTGCCGATGATTGAATGTTGTTGTTTTAACATGAGCTAAATGAAAATGATCTTCGGCTGCGCCTCAGGAAATACGGAATTTGCAAGGGTCTTACAGTCCCGTACACCCTTTCAAAAGACTGTGTAACTATAAATATTCAGATTTTTTAAGCACAGAAAACAGTATCCGATTATTTTCCACCAACTGACCAGGATTTTACAATAACTTTTGGTAATCCCAAAAATGAACCCTGTGACCTATAAGTTTTATCCATGAGGTTACTTGAACTTCTGGAGTGAATACTGAAGGTAAGCTGGCTGTGATGATATGAGCGTTATCAACCTGATAACTCTGTTTGACGTAGATAGACAAGATATCAGCATGTTTGTAGGCCTTGGGTCAGTGAGAACTCACTGACAACATTCTGTACATACTCACACTGATGAACTGGTCACTGCGGATGTCTCTATATATGGAACAGTCCTGTAGCATATTGAAATAATATGAAATGTTACAGATCACAAACATATAGAATAGTGGTTATAACATTATTTATAAATGTGTAGCAATGTTGATGGGTGGTATGCTTGATAACAACAACAATCATAACAACAATAACAACAATGATAACAATGACCACAACAACAATGATAAGAACAACAATGAAAACAGTTACAACAGCAATGATAAGAACAATAACAGCAACAACAATGATAACAACAATGACAAGAAACATGGATAACATCAACCATGACAACAACCAAGACAACAACCATGACAACAACAATGATAACGACAACAATGATAATGATAACAACAATGATAACAATAACAACAATGACAACATCAATGACAACAACAATGACAACAACAATGACAACAACAATGATAACGATAACAATGATAATGATAACAACCATGACAACAACAGTGATAACGATAACAACAATGACAACAACAATGACAACAACAATGATAACAACAATGATAACAACAACCATGACAACAACCATGACAACAACAACCATGACAACAACAGCCATGACAACAACAACAATGACAACAACAACCATGACAACAACAAACATGACAACAACAACCATGACAACAACAACAATAACGATAACAACAATGACAACAAAAATGATAACAATGACAAAAACAGTAATAACAACAATGATAACAACAACCATGACAACAACAATGATAACAACCATGACAACAACAACGATTACAACAACAGTAATAACAACCATGACAACAACAACAATGATAACAACCATGGCAACAACAACGATTACAACAACAGTAATAACAACAACCATGACAACAACAATGATAATAACAGTAATAACAACCATGGCAACAACAACAATAACAAAAACAGTAATAACAACAGTAATAACAACAGTAATAGCAACAACAATGACAACAACAACAATGATAACAACAACAGTAATAACAAGAACAATGACAACAAGAACAATGATAACAACAATGATAACAACAGTAATAAGAACAACAATGACAACAACAATGATAACAACAACAATGATAACAACAGTAATAATGACAACAACAACAATGATAACAACAGTAATAATGACAAAAACAACAATGATAACAACTAATAATGACAACAACAACAATGATAATGACAAAAACAACAATGATAACAACAACAGTAATAATGACAAAAACAACAATGATAACAACTAATAATGACAACAACAACAATGATAATAATAACAACAGTAATAACAACAATGACAACCATGACAAGAACAACAATGACAACAACAATGATAACAACAGTAATATCAACAACCATGACAACAACTATGACAACAACAAGAATGATAACAACAGTAATAACAATAACAACAACAGTAATAACAACAACAATGACAACAACAACAATGAAAAAACAATGACAACAACAATGATAACAACAACAGTAATAACAACAACCATGACGACAACAACAATGATAACAACAACAATGACAACAACAACAATGATAATAACTACAGTAATAACCACAATGACAACCATGACAAGAACAACAATGACAACAACAATGATAACAACAGTAATAACCATGACAACAACAACAATGATAACAACAACTGTAATAACAACAACAGTAATAACAACAACCATGGCAACAAGAACGACGAAAACAAAGACAGGTGTTAGAATATTGCTAAATACAACGTAAGACCAAGCTCACTAATTCTGGCGAGTATGCTCTGACTTCCTGTGCGACACTAGAATGTCAACATTCCCACTACAGACAGTGATGTAAACAGTCATATTTCAAAAAACACCACTTGCCTAAGGTGACACACTATGTGCCACATGTGCTACACGTGCTTCAGTATAGGGGAGGATCAAAGATCTCTGCAGTCCGGGTTAGAATTGGTCTTTAGCAAGCAATGCTTGTCGTAAGAGGCAGCTAACAGGATCGGGTGGTCAGTTTCGCTGACATGGTTGACACATGTCATCGGTTCCTAATTGCATATGATGTTGATCAGTGGATTGTCTGGTCCAGACTCGATTATTTACAGACTGCCACCATATGGCTGGAATATTGCTGAGTGTGGCGGTAAACAAAATATTTTAATTTCAATGCCTGACCTGTCCAGGGTGTGTGATCATACCCAAGCAGTATGGTTAGATTTGATTATTTGAACGCTGTCAGTGACATCACACACATCAAAAAGGATTTTCAAAAGTTACATTTTTGGAGAATTTTTTTGGGTGAAAACATTGTGAATGACTTGGTGGCATCTGGTGGGTTAACCATACACTTTTATTTGTATTTGTTCCCATAACAAAAGAATATTAAATGACACCCACTACTGGGTGACTGTTATTTGATTGGTTGATAAATAGAATAGCATATATGCACATAATGGTCTTGCTGGTTTGGTGTTTTTGTCTTCGGTTTTTGTGTTTTAATGATTAGATCAGCAGTCTGTGAGTCGCCATTGCGGACAGTATATATTTTAGCAATTGACATCAATTTGTTTTTGTGGTTAGGGATTTCTAAACATATATAAACAGTGTGCAGACTTTTGCATAAACCTGCCATGTGATTCATATAAAAAAAACCATAATAATAAAATTGTGTGTAATTGACTCAGCAGGCACACTGTTTTTTATGTTTATACATGGATACTGGTAGAATGAGAGAAGACTTGTGTACAGTTTATTGCATTTTGGGGTTATATACACATTGTCTTTTGGGATAGTTTACAAACAAATACAAATGGTGATCTTAATCCCTGTATATAAAACAATGCCTAGCAGACAAAATACAAGAAAATGATAATGCATCTTGATATTTTATCTCATGTTTTACAGTGTGATTTACAAAATGTGTGATCACCTTTTTGTTCTTCTGAATTTGCTGAAGAGATGCAAAAAATATCACACGTTATGCAAGTTATTCTGGTTTTGCCTACATAAAATCTGGGTAGATTCAGATAATCTGGGATTTCATTTATCCAGACAATATTTGAGAAGACATAAATGTCTGTGTAAGTGAGAGTCTTTGAATGGCCTTTAGAAGTGATACACATATAGGCAAGGATTTATGGATGTCAACTTCTATATTTTGATGGACACGACGTTTCAGGGTATATTCTTTCTCCTTCATCACGTTGGTTCAGTAAGAAAATACTCCGAAACATTGAATCCATCAACACAGCGAAGCTGACATCCATAAATTCTTGCCTTTATGGGTCAGTGAGGTTTGACTGCATATTTTTAAGTAAACTGTTTTCCGTTCAGGTGTGTTTGTTGACACTATTTCCAAGACATGCCCAAATCTGAGGTTTCTGTCCATGATGAACAACGCCGCCGCCCCCAGCTACTTCAACGGTGGATCCTACCAGCAGTATGTCGACTTCAGGTTCGTCACACTCACTGATTATTACTTTTTCAAAATAGACAAAACATATTATTATGGCTGGGACAATTCCAAATTTACAACCTGGTGACAAAACCTCCAGGAGTGTTGACAAGTTGGGTGAGGAATGTGTGACTGGCAACTGCTTTTCTGCAGCCCTTGGCAAAAATCATTTGATTCGTAATTTCTTAAGGATCTTTACCAACCCTGAATGACTTTATCACACCAAAATGAGCTGTGTATCATGGCCTTAGTGGCGAGATGATATATCCCGATACCAGTTTTATGAGGCGAGATGATATATCATGAAAATATTGGCAAGGAACCTGCAAGACGATTATCATCACAATACAATGGTGGTGATACGATACATATCCCGATACTTTGCAATTTCTAATAACAGAACAGATATGGTGAATAAAATGACTGAAACCTTATTTTGTTATACAGCAGAATGTGTGTTACATTCACACACTTAATAAGCTGTTCATCTAATATAGTATGACCAGAAATTATTGAGAATTTTAGGAATATGTTTAATTGGATTTCTAGTATAAACAACCATGACCAGCTATCAAGTGCTTGGTTTCATTCAAGAGAAACAACTCCATTAATCCTTTTTCATTAGTTTGTGAAGAGTTATCCCCCTTTGTTTACTTGCTAGCAGACGACATTTTCAGTGATCCTCAGTATGGATAATTTAGAGAAGAGGAAGTTGATTTTAGAGTATTATAACAAGGACATCAGGTCAGCTAAATGATTTCAAGTAGAACAGGCATCCCTTTGTCCACTGTTTATCGTGTTTTGAAAAATATTGCAAATGGATATGGCATTGAGCACCAGGGAGGTGCAGGTAGGCCCAGATAATTGACTGTCGGTGACAGGAGGCGGCTTGGTATTCTTGTTTCTAAAAACAAACGAAGGAGTTTAGTAAACTTAAGGCTAGATATGATTGATAGAGGAACTGTGGCTGTCTGTAAGGAGACAATTAGAACTGAGCTGCATGCAATGGGTTGGCAGAAAAGTTAAGGAATTCCATCACCAATCTGGAAAACTGAACAAAAGGAGCGAAGGTTGAACTGGTGCTTACAGCATAGAAATTTTAACTGGGACAATGCGATTTTCTCAGATGAAGGTTCTCTGTGGCTGTTTCCTAATACACTGAAATTCTGGACCAAACAAACTGAAAAACCTTTGTATCAGCGCCCAAAGTAGTCCGAAATTTAACGTGTGGGGTGGCATGTCTGTGTTAGGGGCAACGCCCCTCTGTGTATTTGAAGGGAATATGAACAATGAGCGGTATACAGATATTCTCGAGGGACATTTACTTCCATCTGCTCACGTGTCCTATGGAAATCTTTGGATTTTCCAGCAGGACAACGACCCAAAACATCATTCAAAGCATTCACAGGCCTGGTTTCGGACCCAAAATATGACATTATTAGACTGGCCAAGCTATAGCCCTGACCTAAATCCAATAGAAAATGTTTGGGGACTTATGAAGGAAAGTGTCAATAAGAAAAATCTGACAAATATTGCTGAAATGAAAGAAGAGGTGGTCCGATATTGGGACAGCATGGACCATGACTTTCTAACTTCTTTGATCAGTAGTATGCCCCGCAGCATTGAAGCCTGCATTGCTGCCCATGGTGACTTGACAAAATACTAACTGTTCACCTGTCTTTGAATCTGGAGTTATGTTTTGCTAATATTCACATTTAATACGTGAGTAATGAGTGAAAAAAATATTAAAAAATACAATCTTAAAATTCCAAAAATTTCTGGTTGTACTGTAAATATTTAGCATGTATTGCTTAAAGTACAGTCAAACATATTTATTATTATGTAACCTTGATCTAATATAAATAAATTTGAAACTGAAGTTTCCCTTTGGAAGTTGTGTTTCTACACCAATGCTTTCACGAACAATTCAATGTCATTTATATCAGAATTCAGAATCACTGAAAAAATTAAGTCTGCTTTCTAAATTTATCTTATCTTTGTTTTCTTTCTTATCAAAGCTAAGACGTTGTTCATAGCTGTTAATAAATGGTGTCATTTGTCAAACAACTAAAACGTATTTCAATTACTTGACAACAAGTATTCTACAGTTCACAGAGTTGGAAACATGTTCACACTCTGTGACTTATACACCAACTCCTTTGTTCATGTAACAGAGATCCTATAAGGTTCAATTTGTTTTTAAAATTCAGAAGAATTTCAGAGACATACCCATCCTATTCCTAATGCAATACTCCTTACAACTTTAAGTAGTATTTATGTAGTATCGGGACATATGGCGATACATGGATGTATCATGTGTTTTTGCCAGGTACTACGTGATCAGTAAGATTCCCACACTGGAGGCTCTTGATGACAAGCCAGTGACGCCCAACGAAAGAAGGGAGGCAGAGAGAATATACCGGAAACCAGTTAGTGTTGTATTTGATCCAGTACAGTTATATCTCATTAAAGGCGATGACGTATTATCACTAAGATGTGTCTTTGATAAGACAGCTTTGTGGAAAGCATTACATATTATCCCCTTGTTACACACACAGTGACTGTGATTGAGTTTGTGAAATGTATTTTATTTTGTGAGATGAGATTTTATTTCTGTTTTTTTATTTCAGACCAGGAGGAGCAAGAAAAGCAGCAGCAGCAAATCCGTCAAACGACGGAGCAGCTGCTGGAACTGAGTTATCTCCCTTCACAGATACCGCCACTGAAGTGAATCATACCTCTGTGAACTGCCCTATAGTGCCTCAACAATGAATAGCGTTACTTGTTTTTGATGTGAAGAGCTCTGGGATTAATAGTTTCCTTTAAAATCTGCACTCATTGACTGAGGCTGGGATTTTAGTCAAGGACTCTGAACTCAGTGGAGAAAAAATAGTGCAGTTTGATTTTACCCCATATTCTTCTGAATGGTAGAGTGAACTCTTCCGTCACCTAGGCAACCCAGTATATCTTATTAGAGTAAGGATTAGTTTACTTGATCAACGGGGAGGTAACAAAGTGGGATAAGCCAAAGGTCTTCTTTGGGGGACTATGTTTGTTTTTTATTTCAAAACCTGCATTATACCCAGGTGAATATGTAAACCAGGGTGTGACCCAGATTCACTTTGGTTGGCCGTGGTGAGCACAAGCTGTCATTCTCCGGTTGATGTAACTTGCACATGCCTACAGATACCCTCGGGTTACAGTGCTCACAGCACCTTCCAAGTGAGGCTAACGACCTCCAGGTGATATTATTGTTATTTTAACTAGTTTTATTTATGGATTCAGTCATGATTAACATCATTTTAATAATGATAATTTACTGATAAGTGTCATGTAAATTAAACTTTAATTGTTCTCCCAGAAATTGGTGAATCCATAACAAAAAACCCGAACTGGATCGATAACAACTCCTAGTTTATTGCATGGAGCAACGATCTGATGTAGATTAACGCTCTGTGAAATGAACAAGAAATGGCTATCTATTTAGTTGTATGCTTTATTATATGCCACTGTTGTTAAAAATACTTCAGAACTATTAATGCAACGTTAATGATAATTTTACTTCTCCTCTTACTTACTTTCACTAGATTCCCCACATGGGTACAATGTGTGAAGCCCATTTCTGGTGTCCCCTGCCGTGATATTGCTGGAATATTGCTAGAAGCGGCGTAAAACCAAACTCAGTCAGTCAGTACTTACTTTTACTAGATTCCCCACATGGGTACAATGTGTGAAGCCCATTTCTGGTGTCCCCTGCCGTGATATTGCTGGAATATTGCTAGAAGCGGCGTAAAACCAAACTCAGTCAGTCAGTACTTACTTTTACTAGATTCCCCACATGGTTACAATGTGTGAAGCCCATTTCTGGTGTCCCCTGCCGTGATATTGCTGGAATATTGCTAGAAGCGGCGTAAAACCAAACTCACTCACTCACTACTTTTACTGTTTGATGTTAAACTAGTTGTTTTGCATCTTCTTCTTGTTTCACAGTATGTAATAGAAACTATTTGCCAAGCAATGAAATACTTGTTAGTTATGGTAGTTCATGGTTGTGTTGTACAGCAATACATATGCCTGTTGTGTTGCACCTTCTGGTGGCCATTTTGAATTATATTTAACGCTACATTTTATGCATGGTACTTGCTTAACTTGATTGACACTGGTTGACTCCCCCCGAATCAAGTCAACCCCAGTTGCTATAAATGTGGTCACCTTGGTTGATTCAGGCTGAATCTTAGATGACGAATAATCATAGTTGTTACCTGACAATTAACTGTAAATATATTGTTTTGTGGTTAACAGTTATCCTTGAGTGGTCACACGTAAAATACTAAAAATGGCAGTGTTGTATTTTGGGTAATGTGCATCATCATCATTGTAATCATCATAATAACTATATAGCCGATCTTAATATATACATACAAGTCGACACAAGCCTTTATGAGCTTCAAGGTGCTGTTTGTACATATGCAAAACAAGTGATATGTGGAGAAACCAACCCTCTGTTTGATACGTGGAATTTTCGGAGTATTGAGAGGGTGTCTTTGAATCAGCAGCGATATGCCGACTCCCATACAGTCGTAAGATCGGGGTTAAAATCGATCTTCAGTAACTCATTCTTGTTGTAAGAGGTGGTAAGATCCGGGTTAGAATTGATCTTCAGTAACCGATGCTTGTCGTAAGAGTCGACTAACGGGATCGGATGGTCAGACTCGCTGTCTTGATTGACACATGTGATCGTATCCCAATTGCGTAGATTGATGCTCATGATATTGATCATTGGACTACCTGGTCCACACTCGATTATTTACAGACCGCCGTCATATAGCTGGAATATTGCTGAGTGCAGCATTGAACAACAAACAAACATATTGGGTACTCAGAGTCAGCATTTGAAAAGAAATGGTGCATTTTAGTTATTTTTTTCAGTAATAATTCAAAACCAGTTTTCAATGTTTTTGAGATTTCTATAAAGTGGTATTTGAACAGGATGGCAGCCTCATATGGACAAACTATATTGATCACTTTGTCTTCCAGTTGGTTTGAAGAAATTAGTTATTCACAGTAGTTCATGTTATTGTATGTTGTGATATTAAAAAACAGCACTTGTGTTGTTTTTGAATTGTGAAAAATACAGAATTCAATTTATTGTGTAAAACTGTAAATAGTGATGTTATAATTAAGCAATGATTTTAATATATAGTGTACATTGACAAAATGAGATTTTCCAGATGTTACCAGTATGTTTATTGTTGCCGGTGAAATTTGCTCTTTAAATTTAAATTCTCGTGAGTATTTTTATAGCAGTATACGGCTGTTGAATGCTTGGGCCGTGACCTTCAGGAACAAGGACGGCAAGGGCAGTGAACTCCATTCTCATTGTGCTCTGTGTTTCACGCAAACATTGATCAAAGGGGAGACAACCCTTGACACACTTACAGCAGTCATAATGAGTAATGTCCAGTGTTAAACTAGTCATCTGCCGTGATGGAATGTGACCCATCATGGTGATATTATACTTTGTATAAAATTAAGAAAACAAAGAAAGAGGAATAATTTGACTCAGCAATTCTCGCAAAGTTCGCTACATTCCTCGCTGATATATACCATGAAGCGTCCCTAAAATATATCCGTGCTCTACAACAAATGACAATTGTGATATTATTATCTTGAATAAACGAATACTTCCAGGTGGTGTTCGGCCTTGTTTGTTGTGAGCACTAAGATATTACATCCAGTAATGGAATGTCTTGACATATTTACGTAGTGGTACCATCATCTGGGTCTACAGACTTTGATTCCACATTTTAGCCTTTGCAGTCACACAATCCAACGGCAATGAACGGTCGTTTAAAGTCACCTGTCTGAGTGAGGGGCCTAGTCGTCGAGTTTCACCAACGTGGTAAACGTCTGAGTTATTTCGGGCTGTCCTCTCGCCCGACGCTGTCATGTCGTGTAACTGGAATCTCCCATGTTTACAGGGACGGTGGGGTATCCTGTTAAGCGTTCGCTCGTCACGTCGAAGACCCGGGTTCGATTTCTTACATGACTATAATGTGTGAAGCCCATTTTTTGTGTTCCCCGTCGTGATGTTGCTGGAATATTGCTAAAAGCGGCGTAGAACTAAACTCAGTCACCCAAATGCTCACGACCGACCGACGTGGTTCATCCTTGTCATCGTGTTTCAGTTGTGTAGATGGGTGTTCAGTATGTCAATCACCGGATCTCCTGGTCCAGATTCAGTTATTTTCACACATCGTTATTTAGCTGCGGCGGTAAACAACAAACAAATTCAGCTAAATTACTGGAACATTTCAGTTAAAAGAGCTTGGAATTTTCTATAACGGGGGTAATTTGCATACGTCTCAGAACACTGAGGGCACAGATCATTTGATAATCAAAGTGGCGGGGAATGGAAATTTTGTAAGGAGATTCCACCTGCAATACTAGATGTGATTTGATGAAAATTATGAGCTGCTAATATTTAAAAAAAAAAAAAAATACATTCTGCAACAATGCATTTTATGTGGCTTACAATTTCTGTCCTTTTCAACAATATGAAGCAAAACTGTTTTTTGGGGCCAGTTAATTGCCATGCCTGTTATACTCCAACCCTGCAGGGTAGGGCTGTGCAATATTACCGGTAAACCGGTATATACCGGTACAGTATCTCGCGATACGATTATCGCGATATGGTGCCGATTCTGCAATATATAATGGGTCATCCAGAGTTAGCCCCCTTTAAATTATATGCCCTTGAATTATATGCCCTTGACAATATGTGCTCTAAAAGTGTCAAATATATTTTTATTTCAGTTGGTTTCATGTAACATTTTACAAGTTGAAGTATCTTTATAAGTGGCTCCAAAAGAGGCAAATATTCTACCAAGTTTTGTGGGTTTGAATGGTTTCATATGTGACAGTTTGGAGGAATTAAGTGGCCTCAAATGGGCCAATGTTTTATTTGGCCTTATTTGGAGAGCCTCTGGCTCTGAGCGACCATTTCACAATTCAAAATATTTTATTCATTTTTGTTTGTTTCATAATGGGACATATGTTATCAATTTATCATAAAGGCTTAAGTCTTACACATTTTGTAGAACTGTATAATGACATTCTAGTCAAGGATCTTAGCATTGGAGGTTACATGAGCTTTTAAGCTCAAGTAGTTCACCTAAATCATGTTTTTGTTTCATTTTGCAATAGTTCATGTTAACGCATGTTTATATTGGAGTTGAATCTGAATGAATCACTGACATACGAGGGGCGATCAAAAAGTATGTAGAATCACCAAGAAAACGATACAAATGCAGTTATTTTTATGTTTTATTTTCCTACATATTATCTGTCAAGCACAAGCAATTTGGTTTTGCTATGTTCCAGTCTCACGATCCCCATGTTGTTTGACCTTTTATCTTGATACCCTCTAAAAACGCAAAATCTACAATAAATGCATCAAAAACGTCAGGAAACAAAATATGCAAGAAACATTTTGTGTGTTTTGAGATTGATAGAAGTCCCCTAGAATCACACTTAGGTATTAAAGTTAAAAAAAAAGCAATTTGAAATTACAATCGCTTGTTAAAGTGACACCACCCTTCATGCTGACTGCAAGAGCTTGTTTTGGAGACACTACCCATCCCCCTTTCAGATGACGTAATCATAAGGGCATAGCTTATTCTAATGTTTTCACATATGCATACATGATGCCAAGGCTTCAAACTAAATACTGAATGGTCACACAAGGTTCAGCTCACCATATATTGTAAACTGGACACCATGTTTTTGAAATATTAAGATGGGGGTGTCCTTAAAAAATAGCCCCCGACTAAATATTAATCAGGCAATCCAAATCGTTGACTGTTGATCATGACGGGAAGTTATCCAATACTATACTGAACATATTTTATATGACATTATCTGAGGGCATACCATTATCCAAGGGGCACCAAAAGACAAATCGTTTTTCATTTTCTGCAATTTTGTTAGAAATATTATACCCCAATGTGTTGTGATGACAAATATCTGGTTAACCACATTACCCACACATGTGAAATTTTGGAAATGGGTTTGCTAACGATTCCTTCAAAATAAAATGGAAGCTTTTCAAACATTGGACATCGAGAATATAGTTAGGCCACGTACTTTTTGATCGACCCTCGTACCGTAACAATAAGTACATCCTGCATTGAAATGGACTCTGTTGAAGCAAACAACACTGACCATGAAAATCATGTTATACTATTACCTTTATCATTATGTTCGCTAAACTTTGTTGCAATACTTCAATTAAATATTCCACATAAAAGCTCTATATCAGTTTATTGGTCTATACACCATTGACATACAGCCATACACAATAGGGACGGGGAGCCTGAAAGTATGGTGTAACAGCAACTAAGAAGATGATGTCGCACACAGAGAGCTGTTATGAATTTATCATGTACGCACTTGGGCAGAAACCTTCCAGTCAATATATCACAATATATATTGCAATAACTCTGAAGTTATTGCAATATACCGCAATATGAAAATCAGAGCAATATCCATCCCTACTGCAGGGGTCCGCTGTTTGTTATTAAGGGCCACACGCCGAAGACCCGGTTTCGATTCCCCACATGGGTACAATGTGTGAAGCCCATTTCTGGTGTCCCCCGCCGTGATGTTGCTGGAATATTGCTAAAAGCGGCGTAAAACCAAACTCGCTCGCTATTAAGGGCCAGCTTTGTGAGGTCATCAGACAGGTCTATGTCTGATGTGTCAACCTGGCGACCTGGGTCATTTTTCACGCATTGCCTTATTAACTTGAGGAAATACAGCGTACTTCAAGCTCACCACAGTGTCGGACTCATCAAACACCCGACACCCGTTTCACAAAGCGATCTGTGAAGCCTGTCTTAAAGCAGTGGACATACGATCACGTTAGCGCTGTGATCGCTCTGTGAACGGGTCCCTCCAGGTCCCGCCAAATGTGATCTTACCCTGGGATGTCGGCGACATCCTTCACAAACACTTGTAACATAAGTCAGTTGTTTACCTGAGGATCCACAGGAACCTATCAAACACGAGTCAAAATTACAACTACAAATAAGAAATAAATAATGAAAAAGTACTTCTTCGTGTTGAAACGTATCCATGAATGAGTGAGTGAGTTTAGTTTTACGCCGCTTTGAGCATTCCAGCAATATCACGGCCGGGGAACACCAGAAATGGACTTCACACATTGTACCCATGTGGGGAATCGAACCCGTAACGGCAAATGCTTCAACCACTGGGCTACTCCAACGTCCCTGTCCATGTATGATATTGTTCAGGATTGTCTGGTCCACACGCGATTATTTACAGACCGCCGCCACATAGCTGAAACATTGCTGGGTGCGGCGTTAAACAACAAACCAATCAACCGTTTCAGTTACTTTGCAGTGATTTGGACAAAACAATGACAAATAAACATACTGATAAATAATTGCTGCTTTCCACATGCATTCTTTTATGTAGATATGTGGGTTAACTAGCGGATTCAGTAACATTTATTCACAAGCTGTGCTGCACTAACTCCCATCTAGTCTCACATATACATTTCTGTTTGAAAGACGCACGAAATGATTTCTTGACCTCGAATATACAGACAAATCATTTAGAAAGGTTAGAGAAAATACATCTTTGCTTTGTTCAAAAGTTCTTGGAATTGAAAAGATGTTGTTAAAACGGCTCATGGCATCAATCTGATACGTTTCCACCCCATAAGTTTCTTGCCCTTCTGTCCGACCACTTTGTGCAGGATCTCGCAGTATGAGCCATCATCTTTCAGGGGCGTGTTAAAGCTGCTACAGCGGGGAGTCCAGCCACAGATCACTGCACACTGGATCCTGGTCATCTTGTAGGTGGCCACTGACTCAGCAGCCCACGTGCGATGCTTGCCTTGGTAGTACGTCTCACCTGTAATTAATGTATATATATTTTTTATTTATCAAATGGTTTTTAGCTTTTAAACAAACAATCTCTCCCCGAAAACGACTTGAACAGAATAGTGTTCTCTCGGATTTAACTTTAGAATGTAAGAAAACAGCATCATCTGTAATTAACCTCACCTGTAACCTCAGCTGTTAAGCCCCCATATATTAAGGGAGCACTATTTAAACATTTGGAGATTTTGTCGACTGTCGCTAAGGTAATGACGCTCGTAACTTCCATTCCTTAACATTGACTTACGATGGCCGTAGCGATGATAGTGACCGTAACTCCCGTACCTTAACATTGACTTACGTCTGTCGTGGCGCTAAGATGATTGTGACCGTAACTCCCGTACCTTAACATTGACCTACGTCTGTTGTGGCGCTAAGATGATGGTGATCGTAACTCCCAAGCCTTAACATTGACTTACGTCTGTCGTGGCGCTAAGATGATTGTGACCGTAACTCCCAAGCCTTAACATTGACTTACGTCTGTTGTGGCGCTAAGATGATGGTGATCGTAACTCCCAAGCCTTAACATTGACTTACGTCTGTCGTGGCGCTAAAATGATTGTGACCGTAACTCCCAAGCCTTAACATTGACTTACGTCTGTCGTGGCGCTAAGATGATGGTGATCGTAACTCCCATACTTTAACACTGACTTTCATCTGTCGTAGCGTTAAGTCGATGGTGATCGTAACTCCCATAATTTAACATTGACTTACGACTGTCCTAGCACTAAGATGAGAGTGACCGTAACTGACGTAATCGTAATTAGAGTCTTGACCGCCTGACCAGCAGGATCATATCTGATAACAGAGCCCACCACCCTCGTTCCTCTCTCAATCGTTTATATATGCCAATCAATTCTGGAGGTCGGGGTTTGATTAATGTGGAGGCTCTTCATGATAAAATGTTACTGTGTACTTTTGCACATATTTATTTAATGGATGATTCTCTTGTGATGCATGTCAAAACTCATGATGAAAGCAAGGTTATTTTAAGCGTGCCAAGGTTGTTGGACACAATCTGAAATTTGAGGTTGATTTTGTTGATGGCGATGTACTATTGGACGGTACAGCGATGGGAGTAAACCACAATGAGGTTATTCACCAAGTCTCCTCAGAGTCGGCCATTTGTGGAGAAGCTTTCTGAGAAGCCATTGCATCGTGTGTACATGCAGTGTGTGGAACAGAATAGCAATCCAACCGACTCTTTCGCCTAGGTGAAGTCGGCTGGTCTAAATTGTGAAACTGAGGGCTTCCTTTTTTGCTGCTTAGGACCAGTCACTTCCCACTTGCAATCGCCTAAATGTGATTCTTAAAGAAAATATTGACATGAAATGTCGACTGTGTAATGAATTTACAGAGACCGTCCAACATCTTGTTAGTGGATGCCCTTCTTTGGCACAAACAGCATACCTTAAACGACATGCAAAGTACTCCCTATTGTTCTCGATGTCCTTGGTTTGGTGCCCTGAGCTGATGCCCGGGTTCTCCACCGGGAGCACAGCCCTACTGACAATCTGGGTAATGCAGAAGGCTGCAGTGATGGGGAGCCATATCCCGTACCTTAACATCGACTTCTTACGTCTGTCCGGATGGTGATCGTAACTCCCATACTGTCGTAACGCTAAGAAGATGGTGACCGCAACTCCCACGCATTAACATTGACTTGCGACTGTCGTAGCGCTAAGATGATGGTGATCGTAACTCCCATACTTTAACACTGACTTACGACTGTCGTAACGCTAAGGCAATGGTGACCGCAACTCCCACATATTAACATTGACTTGCGACTGTCGTAGCGCTAAGATGATGGTGATCATACCTCCCATACCTTAACATTGACTTGCGACTGTTGAAACGCTAAGATGATGGTGATCGTAACTCCCATACCTTAACATTGACTTGCGACTGTCGTAGAGCTAAGATGATGGTGATCGTAACTCCCATACCTTAACATTGACTTGCGACTGTCGTAGCGCTAAGATGATGGTGATCGTAACTCCCATACCTTAACATTGACTTGCGACTGTCGTAACGATAAGATGATGGTGATCGTAAGTCCAATACCTTAACATTGACTTGCGACTGTCGTAGCGCTAAGATGATGGTGATCGTAACTCCCATACCTTAACATTGACTTGCGACTGTCGTAGCGCTAAGATGATGGTGATCGTAACTCCCATACCTTAACATTGACTTGCGACTGTTGAAACGCTAAGATGATGGTGATCGTAACTCCCATACCTTAACATTGACTTGCGACTGTCGTAGCGCTAAGATGATGGTGATCGTACCTCCCATACCTTAACATTGACTTGCGACTGTTGAAACGCTAAGATGATGGTGATCGTAACTCCCATACCTTAACATTGACTTGCGGCTGTCGTAGCGCTAAGATGATGGTGATCGTAACTCCCATACCTTAACATTGACTTGCGACTGTCGTAACGATAAGATGATGGTGATCGTAAGTCCAATACCTTAACATTGACTTGCGACTGTCGTAACGCTAAGATGATGGTGATCGTAACTCCCATACCTTAACACTGACTTGCGACTGTCATAACACTAAGATGATGGTGATCGTAAGTCCCATACCTTAACATTGACTTGCGACTGTCGTAACGCTAAGATGATGGTGATCGTAAGTCCCATACCTTAACATTGACTTGCGACTGTCGTAGCGCTAAGATGATGGTGATCGTAACTCCCATACCTTAACATTGACTTGTGACTGTCGTAACGCTAAGATGATGGTGATCGCAAGTCCCATACCTTAACATTGACTTGCGAATGTCGTAGCGCTAAGATGATGGTGATCGTAAGTCCCATACCTTAACATTGACTTACGACTGTCGTAACGCTAAGATGATGGTGATCGTAACTCCCATACGTTAACACTGACTTACGTCTGTCGTAACGCTAAGATGATGGTGATCGTAACTCCCATACCTTAACATTGACTTGCGACTGTCGTAGCGCTAAGATGATGGTGATCGTACCTCCCATACCTTAACATTGACTTGCGACTGTTGAAACGCTAAGATGATGGTGATCGTAACTCCCATACCTTAACATTGACTTGTGACTGTCGTAGAGCTAAGATGATGGTGATCGTAACTCCCATACCTTAACATTGACTTGCGACTGTCGGAGCGCTAAGATGATGGTGATAGTAACTCCCATACCTTAACATTGACTTGCGACTGTCGTAACGATAAGATGATGGTGATCGTAAGTCCAATACCTTAACATTGACTTGCGACTGTCGTAACGCTAAGATGATGGTGATCGTAACTCCCATACCTTAACATTGACTTGTGACTGTCGTAACGCTAAGATGATGGTGATCGTAAGTCCCATACCTTAACATTGACTTGCGACTGTCGTAACGCTAAGATGATGGTGATCGTAAGTCCCATACCTTAACATTGACTTGCGACTGTCGTAACGCTAAGATGATGGTGATCGTAACTCCCATACCTTAACATTGACTTGTGACTGTCGTAACGCTAAGATGATGGTGATCGCAAGTCCCATACCTTAACATTGACTTGCGAATGTCGTAGCGCTAAGATGATGGTGATCGTAAGTCCCATACCTTAACATTGACTTGCGACTGTCGTAACGCTAAGATGATGGTGATCGTAAGTCCCATACCT